GCATTTTCCCACAACCTCATCAACACAAACGTGTATCATTAGAAAGGAGCATTTGTCAGGGAGACGCATTACAAAGTCTACCCTTTTTTGTTTTTTTCTTTCTCACTTTGTCGTCGCCGATACCCCCCTTCCCTTTCTCAGAGAGATGGATGGATTCGACGTCAAGTACGAGCGTTTCTTAGGAACCAGATTTAGTCAACTGGGATACATCAAAAGTTGGAGAGAAGGAGTTCACATTTTCTCATTCGCACAGGAGCACAGGGAGTCAATCTTAGCATTGGACCACCCAATTCTAGATGAGAGTTATAATACCACACATAATTCATCAAAACAAACTTGATCCTCACTTTGCATAAACGTGATCCAACATTGAAGGCCAGCCAAGTCCTCGACCTCAAAACCGACCTGCCTCATGGAACCGCGCTTTAATCGCACAGCTACTACCTGAGCTCGCTACCGCCGCGCAAACCATGGCAGAAACAGAGGATCTTACTGTGATCCCCCGTTCATCAACCTCCCCCCCGCCTATTGTGAGACTGAGACGGCATGGGGCACATGGCACGATGGGCGGGAAACACATCCCACTCAACGCACGACATCCCGTCCCATTCTCCCCCATTCCCCGCCCGTCCGCCGTCACCAAGGCCGCGACAGCAGTGCGCGGGGTCGTTGGGAAAAGGTGAGCCGATCTCTACATTGACCGAGAGAGCATCGCGCCCAGTCTATCCGTCCCTCCCGACGACCAGCTTTCGGCAAGGGGTGTATTGGGGGCTGGGGGGCTGGGCGAAAGTTGGATGAGGTTACGGAGTAACGGACTGAACTTGCTTGCGTTTTGGCGGTGGGAATGAGAAGAATACTACTCTGCGGCGGCCACCCTTTTTGCAGAACGAGCCATGGTAATCAAACCTCAGCCTACTTTGTTTCTCCTGCTGCATGGCCGCGATACTACATACAACGACTGCGGAAACCAACCTTGCCGCAAACGACCCCCTCCCCTTCTCCATCCCCCCCCATGTGCCATGCATAACCGACCCGACCCGATCAGCAGACCAAGAATACTCAAATACCATGCGCAGTCCTGCAGAAGACCGCAAGGCGAAAAGGCAACGCCAGGCAGGCTGGCAGCCACCGGAGGGTAGTTGCAACTTTGCAGCGCGCCAACAACACATAATGTTAATTAGACAAAGTATAGCTGAATACGGGGTGCCAGCGGCCATCTTTTGCGACCCAATGTTTGGGCCTTTTTTCCAGTACGTCGAGGAAAAAACCTTCACGCCCCCCAAAGAGATGGTGGGAGAATGGATTTGAGAAAAACCGCTCAATTGTTGCAGAATATATTGACACGTCGACTTTTTGTGAGGAAACCGGGGTGTTGTTGTTGTCGTTGTGTTTGTGGTTTCCACACCACCACCATCACCACGAAAACCATCAACACCATGATCATCAGGGCAGAGCATATAGCCTTTCTCTGCCTTCTTTTGACGATCTTTACCTCAACATCCAATGGATAGCATGTCGTTCATGCTGATGTTGATAAGCCCCTTCGTCACATCCGTCCCAATTGTCTTTTGCAGAGCGGGTTTCGTTATAGGTGATACACACCGAACGACGGGGGTTTGGATGTATTGGTGCTTGACCGAAAGGGAGGGGGGGCGGCGGCGGCGGCGGCGGGCGAAACGCGCCGAGATCATCTGAGATCTTTCCGCCTTGCGGTAGAGATGGGCCTGCCCTACGGATACATTCTATCTCCGTGGTGTATGGCTTGCCCTGACTGACGTGATGTATTATGTTACTGCAGAGTGGCAGATGGAGGACAAGGGGGCACGAATGTTAGCCGGGGTTTGGAAGGGAAAAGATGTGCGGCTAGGGCGCGTGTTTTTTTTTTTTTTTTTTTGTTGGCAGAAACATTACATCAATGATGAAAAAGTTTGGTCACATTTCTGCTCTCTATCGTCAAGGGGAATACTGCTACAATACCTTACCACCGGGGGCCTTGCCCGTCCGGAATGAGACGGATAGGCTGAAAAGCTGAAGCTGATAATGTTGTATACAGGGCCTGCTTATCAATTTGGAAAATGTACGCAGTATTATGAATTTTGGTGGTTTTCGCCCCCAGGTTTCTACTGCGTATCTAGCCCCATTCCCCATTGCCCATCCCACCCGAACCACCTACCCCGTCCGCGGTTGCCAAACTGCTCATCTCGCGTAAGTCGAGATGCAGGACAAATACATGCCTTAGGGGCGGGCGGGCGATGCAGCGCGGCGGCGAAGGGGGGCACGAGAAAAGGGTTTGGTCCTTAGCCCTCGGGACGTGCCATTGCATTTATTTTGCAAGGGAGAAGGGGGTGAGGGTACCCGCGATGCGCGGCTGTTTTGATTTATTGAAACCTTCTAAAGGGAAACTGCATATGAGGCCCATTGTGAGCTGGACAGTGAGGTTCTGTGGTTTGCGAGGTTTGGTTGTGCGGTTCGAACGGCGGTGGTAATTGCCTTTCATGCGTGCGTTATATTGGTTGGACGTGCGTTTTTTTCCGGTGGGCTTGTATTTTCCCCCGGGTTTACGCACATTACCTCAGCTGAAGTACGGAGTACGGAGTACCTAAGGTAGCTCGAAACCATCGTATTGGACCCGACAGACCAGAAAGAGGCCTCAATTGGGGGCGGGGCCGAGATTTGTTATTCGAGGTCCGAACTCCGTATCTGTACCGCAGTACGTAGTAGATGGTTTGAGCCTATTTGCGTGCAATTATCGTCGGTGAATATCATCTGCCGTACGGGTTCTTTGATGGGGGGAGTGGATTCTGATGCCGCGGCCCGCGAGAGAGTTTGGGAACATCCACCCCTTTTGCCGTTGACGAACTTCCCTTTGAGGGTACGGTTTGGCATAATGTACAGTTGGAATTGGAAATGAGAAAATGAGGCTCAGCCTCAGCCCGTCCGTCCACGGACGGGAAGAAAGGGGGTGGATGTACGGGATGTGGAATGTTGGACCCCTAATTCCCAAGTCGAGGGCAAAAAGAGCCCAGGGGGTGGAGACTCTACTATAGTATCAGCTCGTACTCTGTCAAGTCTGTGAAGAAAGTCAAAGGGGGAAAAATGAAAAAAAAGGAAAGAAAACACAGACGTCGTTGACGGTTTGACGGGCTCGACGGTCCAAGGCGCCGTCGTTCTAGGGCCTCCCTTATCTAATTACGTCGCACCGGTGACGGGAGGCTAAAGGGAAGGCTAGCACGGTGGTGTAATTAGATATTCTGCCCTTTCCGTGATTTTTCGAGGGCAATAACGGAAAGAGGGAGAAAATTGCAGAGAAATTTGGTCCCCGAAGACAAGCTTGGCTAGTATCCGGGTGTTTGACGCCAGTGGAGGAGTATACGATGGACAGCATTCATGCTAGCGGAGACGGCGCCGGGGAGTCGGGATTGTGGGAAGGAACTGGTACAATGTTCCCAACGAAGCGGCGGCGGCGCAAGAGACGGCGCCAGAGGAAACGGAGCCGCCGTGGGCGGTGTTCCGTGGACGTGGAACGACCGATGTGGGCTTCACTTCGGGTTCGAACCTCGAGTTGATGGGTAGAGAGGCGTGTCGCGATGAATGATGGGGGATTAAGTTCTCCCCTATTGTTATTATCCCCCCTTTATTGCCGTATAGTACGATTTCGTATATTCCTCCGCGATCTAAAGACGAATCTAAATTAATCCAGGTACGACGACGATTCGTCACCGATGGACGGGAGTTTAAGCTATAGACTGGGTAAGGGTAAGGATTGTCCTAGTAGCTAAGAGTCTGATATCTTTCTTTGTGTGTCTATATCGAGCCACTGATGAAGGTCCGAGGATTACGGATACGTTGACAGGGAATCGGGGTGCGGCATGTCACGTCAGATAGAAAAGGACGGGACGGAGGGAGACCCTCTCCCCAAGCCCTTTCATCAAAGTGACACCTGCGCATCTTTTTACCCCATGAAATGCGGTATCACAATGTTCTTAGTTGTCGTGGGTTTATGATGGAAGTTTCTGCGACGAAGATCGATGAACCCTGACGCTCCGCTGCTGATCACTTTGTCTTTCCCATTTCCAAAATCACCCCCCACTTGACGAACTGGAGGAATGTTTGAATTTGTATGAAACAGGAGAGGGAGGCTTTGGTCTATCGTTCTTCAAGCACCGTGACGCCGTTCGCTCTTCACACCTGTCAAGCTTGTCAATCTGTTTCCAGTTTCGAAAAATGGACGGTTCAAGTCGGAACGTTTCTGGGGCGTCTGGAATTCAGACGGTTTGGATTAATTACTTGGGACTAGCCACGCCGTGGTCGTGGTGCCTGCAGTAGGTTACGGTTACAACTTACGGTTTACGGGTTCGGTGTCGCGTACCTGACTTAGTGGTGGCGAAATTCCCTGCAGTCGTCGTCGACTTTGGTCATCTCGGAAGATGGTCACGAGATTGGATCAAGAAGGTCGAACGGTTGAATGTCGCAATGTATCATGTATCTAATCCCTCTCCCTTCCTTGGCCCTTCCTTTTGGTCCCTTTGATCCCTTTGGAGGGGCACGTGGAGGGTAGACTTGGGAATGGCTCAGGGGACTTGCATTGGTGATCCGGACCCGCCGGGAATGCAGGCGCAGAAGCTTAGAGAAGGTGCTTATCGCCAAGACGTCACCGCTTCTTATTTTTGCCTCTGTATCACTGGTGGACGTTGTGACGGCGGGAGAAAAAAAAACAAAAAAACTTGGTGATTTTGCGGCGGCGTGTTTTGGAGTTTCTCGAACGGTGAACCGGATCGTCAGGGGGGAAGGGGGGGTTCGTCGATTCTGTCCCAATCGGGCAATGGAGCCCCGTTTGGGGGAGGTGTGGGGCGAAGCGTGGCAAAACGTGGGAGATCTAAATCCACTTTTATTCAGCTGCCTCAGTCCATCCTCTTGTGATTATGTAAGGCGTCTGTACCCAATGCCTTGTTACTTCTCAGGAGGTATGCTCCGACCACGTGATCCCGCGCCGAGGTCGTAACGACCGTTCAGGCCAAGCTCAGACGGATCTTCGCGCCGCTGAAGCGATGAAAGGAATGCAGGGGTCCCTAATTTTCCCCAGAACGACACATCGGTGACATCGCACTGCACATCATCAGAAACGGTTGTCTCTTACAGCTCATTGCTGCCTTGCGGGATATTCAGGGTATCCTTCATACCACAACAGTGCGTTGAAACGGGCTTGACTCATCGACCACCCGACTTTTCGTCACCCTTTCGGGACCACGTCCCTTGCGCTAGAGAACTCGGACAATCAGGGTCTCTGGAGTCTACGGCGGGGACAGAGCGAGTGAAGGCAGACGACGTGAAGCGGATACTTGGATACGCACGCCGGTCACCGCAGTACGTGAGGTGCACTCGTCACCCGGCCTTCACACCACAACGTACGACACAACACCAACACCGCCGACCATGGACGACGTCCTCGAGCTCCACGTCTGGGGCGCTGCATTTGGCCTGCCCTCCATCGACGCCGAGTGTCTGGCCGCCATCGCCTACCTGCACACCGCCCTCCCAAGCTCACAATGGCGTCTGGTCCCGAGCAATGACCCTGCCGTCCACTCATCGAGTAAGTATACCGGTTCACTTATTCACACTTACACCGGCCGGCGTCTTTACGTTGCACACCCCCTTTCCACCGTTCGAGGCTTCCGCCGTTGAAACAAATTTCCCACGCGGCCTCGTCCCATCATGACGATTCATAACAAAGAAAGCCTCACAAAGGCTCACCCAAACGCACAAAGAAACTCACCCAAAATACATACACACAATGGGACCCTCCCCCTTTTACCCTCAGCCTCGCTAACGTCTGCTAGACCGCCTACCGGCCCTTAAGGCCAACGGCGTCTGGGTAACGGGCTACGCCTCCATCGCGGCCCACCTCGCCTCCCTCGCGCCGCACTCCCCCTCCTGGGACCTCGACCTCGACTCGCGCCTCACCCCGTCCCAGCGCGCAGACGCCCTCGCCTACGCCGCCTACGTCGAGTCCGCCCTTGCGCCCTTGCTAGACGCCGCCCTCTACGGCACCCACGAGAACTGGGTCGCCGTCACCCGCCCCGCCCTGAGCCACCTCCTCGGATTCCCCCTGAGCTGGACCGTCCCCGTCATGATCCGGAACCAGGCCACGGCCCGGTGCGCCCACCTCGGCCTCGACTCCCTCGGCGCCGAGGACGACGACGAGGAGAACGGAGACGACGCCGCCGTGCCCAGGAACCGCGCCTTGGACCGCGCCATGAAGCACCTCCCCGTCTCCAATAAGAAGACGGTGCTCGAGGAGATGAAGGCCGGCACGGCGCGCGGCATCAGGCTCCACGCCATCACCGTCGACGCCCTCTCCCCCCTCGAAGCCCTCCGCGCGCGGGGCGAGGACTCACCAGGCGAGAAGAAGCGCTTCTTCGGCGGCGAGGTCCCCACGTCCCTCGACTGCCTCCTGGTAGGCTACCTCGCCCTCATCCAGCAGGTCGACCTCCCGCAGTCCTGGCTCCCGACCATCCTCGCTACGAAATTCCCTCACCTCGCCGCCATGGCCGCGGACCTCCGCGACGAGTGCCTCACGAACCCGGGCAACGCCCTCCCCTGGACGGCGGCACCTTCGTCATCGCTCCGTACCGCGGCGCGCTTCCTCGACAACGTAGTGCAGGCGACGCCGAACCTCGGCGAGGCGTACCTCCACGAGTGGCGGCGGCGGGCCGAGATGAAGGCCAAGGGAGCCTCGGCGGACCGGAGGACGCTTGCGCTCGCGGGCGGGGTGTTGGTCGCTGGCTCGGCGATCGCGTACGGCGTGTGGACGTATAAGAGTCTGCCGCCGTGGGGCCTGCGGACGCAGACGTGGGTGGCGGAGAAGAAGGGGTTGGGTAGGTTTGGCGATTTGGGTGAGATGCTCAACTTTTCGCTGGGACTTGCGGATCCGGTGCCGCAGGCGAGTCCGGCTGCTGGATGGGGTTCGGAGCATAGATATGTTGAGTCTGAACTGGCTGTTGATTGAGGTTGGAGATACACTTTGAGTGTAGGATAATGCGGTGAGTATTAAGATAGGTTTGGTAACAGGAGGTATAGCTGGCTGCAACATGGCTTATCAGTCACGAAACGAAAAGATGGGCATATAGATCACTCGCAACTCTGGAGTCAGGGGTAGCATGTACGAAAAGGTCACATGGTCTGCGGCATCCTAAAATTGTACAATACTGTTTCGATTATTTCGCTTTACACATAAAAGCGTTCATCATACACCATGCTATTTTTTCAATGCTTCCTGTGCCACTTATGCCGACCTCGAATGCCCTTATGCTGAACATCGACACTTTTAATTCTACACACGATGAAAACGACCTTTCATCAACTAGCCTCCTCATCTTTCTGAGGGCTCCTTAAATCTGCCGAATCTCCTTTCCAACCATCTCGGGCCTCTCAACCTCCCACTCGTCACGCAGCACCGCAAACGTGAGATCGCTGACGAGCAAGCTCTGTCCCAAGCTCCAGACCAACGTGATGGCGTAGAAGAAGTTTGCGTTTCCGCTCCCGGCGTAGATCCACAGGTGGTAGAACGCCGGGCCGAGGAACGAGGCGTACATGATCGTCGCGGCGCCGACAAAGGTGTACCGCATGAGGGGGAACACGTGCCGGAACAGCGAGAGCATGGCCAGGAACAGGCTCGTGTCCGCGATGGACGGGTACGGCTTGAAGATGGCGAAGATGCCGAGGAGCAGCGTCAGCACGACGAGCGGCTGGGTGCGGATGCGGATCGTCAGGGGCCCGACGTAGCTCGAGAGGTGGAGCCAGAAGACGGCGAGGAAGAAGGGGCGGAAGGAGTCGAACATTTCGACGAAGAAGTACCACCACAGCCCGACGTTGGGGGTCAGGTCGTTGAGGGTGAGCTGGGCGCCGTAGGTGCTGGGGAGGAACTCCCAGGAGCCGCCGGTGAGGAGGAAGGACATGAGGAAGAGGGCGGCGAGGACGGCGGCGGCGACGGAGAGGTTTGCGAGGGCGAAGCGTCGGGTCGAGGTTGTGGTGAGGCGGGTCGGGTCCTGGCGGTCGTGGGCGAGGAGGATGAGGGGGGGGAGGAGGAGGGCGGGGTACATTGAGAAGTAGGTGGCGAAGGAGAGGGAGACCATTGCGCTGAGGGGGTAGCCGGCGATGGCCTTTGCGATGGCGTGGAGGATTGCGCATGTTGAGAAGACGGAGGTGGAGCGGCCGATGCAGGTTGCTATTGTGAAGGGGTTGAAGAGGTAGCTGTGGTGAGGGTTGTTAGACCAAAGGTGCGTTGATGATGCGAGCAAGGGGTAAGATGGGGGAGCTTACAGTGATGCGACGACGAGGCCGCTCCACCTCTTGCCGCGGCGGGGAGAGGAGAAGAGGCGAGAGGAGCCTGCTTCGCCAGAGTCTGCGATCTTGGAGAGGGCATCCGCGCTCAGGATGTCGACGAGGATGTAGAGAAGGTATGTGAAGATCGGGAACGACTTCAGGTCCGGGAGGAGGGAGAAGAGGGGGAGGAAGAGGGGCGCCTGGTGGTATACGCCGCCGTCGTAGGGGGAGACATTGTGGTTGTAGAGGAAGAGTCCTTCTTGTACTGCATTACCATGAATCGTCAGTTTATATTCCTTGCTTCAATTGGGATCCAGGGGAGGGGAAGCTCACATCGCTTGAAGCTCGTGACGGGGGTCGAGATCTCGACGCGGCCGGTAAGCAGGTCAGGCAGGCCGGGGAACGCGACGAAGAGCAGCAGACGCAGCGCTGCTGCGGCGGCGTAGACGCCCGTCTTGCTGCCTCCCTGTGTACTTGTTCCGACGGTCATCCTTCAGTCCATGGTACGGGGCGGGATGTGTCGAGATGCGGGCTCACGGGAGCTTCAGAGGTTCGCAGGACTTATTGGAGTTCGGGGCGGGAGTCGGGATGAATAAGGTGTGGTAGGGACGGGGGTCGAGGTGGATGACACCTGGTGCTTCGGCCGGGGCGCAGGTCCGCTGGGTGCGGGAAGCTTGTTCAGCGAATGGCAATCCGTCTTTCAGCGCAGTTGCAGTTGGTTTAGCGGGTTGAACCCCTGGAGCTGGGGCCATTGTGCTGATTAGATAACGGACGCCAATCAGCGATAAGGACGATAGAAACTAGTCCTATCTCGGCTGGCGATGGAGCGGTCAACCGCTGGCAGAAAATTTCAATGGAAAAAAAGTTCAGAGAGAAACTCGAGAGCGGTGCCCCGCCACAGCGAGAAAGTACTGGAGAGCTTCTAAACTCGTCCAAGAACACACACCCTTCCAAACCAAGTCAATTTTTCAACAACACAACCACGCCAATTCGAAAAAATGGCGGGCAGAGTCAAGAAGAAGGGAGAGGCCGGAGCGGCCAAGAACTATGTCACCAGAAACCAGGCCATCCGCAAGCTGCAGATCAGCCTGCCCGACTTCCGCAAGCTCTGCATCTGGAAGGGAATCTACCCTCGCGAGCCGCGCAGCAAGAAGAAGGTCTCCAAGTCCTCGACCGCCTCGACGACTTTCTACTACGCCAAAGACATCCAGTACCTCCTTCACGAGCCGCTGCTGCTCAAGTTCCGCGACCAAAAGGCCCTCGAGAAGAAGATTTCGCGCGCGCTCGGCCGCGGCGACGTTGGCGATGCGAAGCGCTTGGAGAAGAACGCCGCCAGGCCCGAGGAGACTGGCAAGCCGAGATACACCCTCGACCACGTCATCAGAGAGCGATACCCGACCTTTGTCGATGCCGTGAGGGACCTCGACGACTGCCTGTCCATGCTCTTCCTTTTCGCCAACCTGCCTTCGACCTCGTCCGTTCCCGCAAAGATGATTGCGCGCTGCGAGCGGTTGACCCTCGAGTTCCAGCACTACCTCATTGTGTCGCAGAGCGTCACCAAATCCTTCCTTTCGATCAAGGGTATCTACTACCAGGCGAACATCAACGGCGAGGATGTCTTGTGGCTGGTGCCTTACAAGTTCAACCAGAGGGTTGTTGGCGACGTCGACTTCCGCATCATGGGAACCTTTGTCGAGTTCTACATGACGCTGCTGGGCTTCATCAACTTCCGTCTGTACACCGGCCTCGGCCTCAAGTACCCGCCCAAGTTTGACCAGACCAAGGACAACCAGTCTGCCGAGCTTGCCGCCTTCACCATTGAGGGCCAGAACCTCGCCGCCCCCGAGGAGCCGAAACAAATCACCAACGGCGAGACCGAGCACAGCGTCGACCCCAAGACCCAGGCCGCGGTTGACAAGGTCATCAAGAAGCTCAAGTCTTCGGATGCCGACAAGGAGGAGAGCAAGTCGGAGGAGCAGACCGAGTCCGCAGAAGAATCCACAAACGCCATCGACAAGTTCGAGCCCGCGGCGCCCGGCGGTGACGTCCTGCCCCAGCCCGTCCACTCGAGCACCGACAGAAACAAGCTCTTCGCCCACTGCACATTCTTCCTCTCCCGTGAGACTCCCAGACAACCCCTGGAGTTCCTCCTGCGGTCCTTCGGCTGCAAGCGCATCGGCTGGGACGCCGTCCTCGGCGAGGGTGCCTTCACCACCGACGAGCGCGACCCGTCCATCACCCACCAGATCGTCGACCGTCCCCCGATTTACGCTGCCAACAGCGAGGAGGGCGATGGCGAGGACAACCAGACATCTCAGAAGCTCGCGCCCAACCAGCGCATCCCCGGCCGGATATACGTCCAGCCCCAATGGGTCTGGGACAGCGTCAACGACGAGGAGCTCAAGCCGGCGGACCAGTACGCCCCCGGCGCCCAGCTCCCTCCCCATCTCAGCCCCTTTGTCAGGCAAGTGCAGGGCGCGTACGACCCGACCATCCCCCTCGAGGAGCAGGAGCCCGAGGGCGAGGCCCTGGCGGAGAGCGACGAGGAGATGGCCGACGACGTGGACGCCGGCGATATGGACGTTGCCGGCTCCGACGAGGAAGAGGAGGGCGAAGACGGCGAGGGCGGCTCCGACTTTGACGGCGTCTCCGAGGACGAGGACGACGTCGGCTCCGAGAACGACGACGCCGACGCGCAGCGCCAGCTCGAGCTCGAGGCCGAGCTCACGGGCGGCGCGGTCCAGGCCAAGGAGACCAAGCCCAAGACCAAGAAGGAGGCGGCCCGCAAGGCGCACGCCAAGAAGGTGGCCGAGGAGGCGGAGGACATCGAGCGGGCCAAGGGCATGCTGAGCAAGAAGAAGAGAAAGCTGTTTGAGCAGATGCAGTACACTAATAACAAGAAGAGCGTGCAGGACGAGAAGCTGCGCGCCAAGAGGAGAAGGCTGGAGAGGGAGGCCGCGAACAAGAAGGCCAAGGCGTAGAGGATGATGATGTGTTGGTGGTGGTGAAGAAAAAAGAGGGAGGAGAGAAAAAGCTTGTTTTTGTGTTTGTGTTTTATTCTAGAATGTGTAGTAGGCGTTTGTTATACCATAATTGTGGTGTTGGGACGATAAATACATGCCTGGGACACATGAAAACAATCTCTCCATGAATTTAAGTGAGATGTTGGTAGTACGGCATGATGCGTGTGAATCTTTACCTTACCTTCTAGAGTCGAAGAAAGCTTAGGCTACCTGTTTGACCTCTCCTCGAGGCAAGTTTCGGTGAGATGTGGGCGGGTCCATTTTTCTTGTACTCTTCACCTCACTTCAACACACTCTGAAAACCGCTGTTATTCATCTATACATTTCATTCCACCTCGTTCAATTGATGCATATTATTTGCACATGTGAAGCATCCAAATCTTAGCTTCATCAGGCATCGTATCCCTGTCATGACGGCAAACGAGGAATCGTGGGACCTCGACACCGATGAGATTCGCTCCGTCGACTCTGAAGAGCTTTATGAGACCAGACCCAACCGCTGGAAGGGCAACAAGGCGACATGGAACACCTACACGCAGGAGGAGCGACTCCTCCACCGCTCGATGGAGCAAGTTCGGAATCGCGACTTATCGGTGCACCTGTACAACGCATTCGCGCTCCGAAATCGTGCAGTGCGCCCCAGCGCCGCGGGAGAGTCCGGTGAAGCGGTAGGTTTAGAGAGCAGCGCCGTCTCATTCCCACGACACATTCCAAATCGCTGACCATTCTCTTCCCAGGACACCGATAGACCGCTGGAAGAAATCGTCGACAGCGGCGAGTGGCGCCCGCCGAATCTCTGGACGGCGTGGCCCATGAACTCGCGCATCGTGCCCGGCGACGACTTTCTAAAGGAAACTCACGACGAGGACGACGACTTCACCACGCGCTCCAGGAAGGAACAGCTCCCCAGCACAGCGTTAGAAGAGGAATTGACGGCTACGATTGTACGCCAGGCGAAAGAGCGGTTTCTTCGCCGGCAGCGCAGGGCTCGAGAGCGAGAGGAGGCTGCGAGGACGCGGGACGACTCTGCCAACGAGAAGACGGCGGCGTCTTCCGTGTCTGCGCATTCATCCGCGGTCTCTGACGAAGACGAAGAAGGGAATACGCCTCCTCCATCGGGACAAGGCGCGCAAGCGGCGGGAGTATCCGACGTTGATGTCGAAAAGCCGAAGCGCAGTAAGACGTACGAACCAGTCGTCTCCGCCAACGACGACCTCTCCGCCGACCTCCTCCGCCCTTCGGTCCGTCACATTCTATCTACCTTAGACAACACCCTCACGGCTCTCCACAACGCCCGCCTCGCGGGCCTGAGCTACATGACCGACTCGTCCGCCTCGGCGACCGACGTGGAGGACAACAACGCCTCGGACGCAGCTAGCGTCTCGTCCGCGGCGTCGCGAGCGAGTTCGTCGGCGTCGAAGCGGAAGAAGAAGGGTCGGCCGCGGAGTAAGGCGCCCAGAACCCCGGAGCCGGAGTGGACGAGGGCGCTCGAGAGGAGGGGACGGCCGAAGAAGGTGGCGGTCCCGCTGCCCGGGGAGACGGAGAAGGAGATGAAGATTCGGATTGCGAGGGCATCGAAGAAGAGGATCCCGTTCTCGTCGGACGAGGAGGATGCTGCTGCTGCTGAGACGGAAGGGGAGGAGGATGCCGTTGTGAAGAAGGATGGAGAGGGATCGGGGGCGGAGACGTCGAGGTCGAGGTCGCCGAGGAAGAGGCGTGATTTGACGGCCGAGGCGAGGGCCGAGGCGAAGGTCAAGGCGCGGGAGACGATGCTTGGGAACTGGGGCCTGCGAGACTGGAGCGACGTCATTGGCGCGGCGTCGCTTTCTGGGTTCAAGCCTGATGTTGTCGCGAGGGCGGCGCAGCGGTGTGCTGATTTGTTTGGGCAGGGGATGGAGACGCGGACTCTGTTTGAGGGGCCCGCGACCAAAGGGCCGAAGTCGCAGACGACGCGATATATCCCGGGCGGCGGGAAAACTCGCCACGGCGGCGGTGGTGGTACTGCTGCCCCGTACGCGGGGGCGTCTAGCTCAGAAGATTCGGAGAAGGAGAGGCCCGTCGTGAAAGCACGGCGTTTCGGGGCGTCTTCTCGACAGAATAGTCTGGCGCGCGACAGCATCCCACCCAGCGATTCTGACGCCGCGGGACGAGGACGGAGCACGACGACGGCGGCGGCGGCGGCGGCGAGACGATCGCGGAGCGCATCCCGCGCGTCGTCTGTGGGGTTCTTCTACTGTCCCGTCTCGGGCTGCGAGCGCTCGCTGGAAGGGTTCGGGCGGAGGGCGAATCTGCAGCGGCACGTGGCGACGATGCATCCTGGTCGAGTAGGGGATGTCGTGGGTGGCAGCGGTGGCGGCGGGGGGAGTGACCGCTTCGACGTGGGGAGCGAGGACGAGATGGTGGGCGCGGTGCACGTTGACGGGTTCCTGAGGCCTATTCGGGCGAGGAAGGGGTGGAGGGCCGAGGATACGGGGAAGAGGAAGCGGAAGAGGCATTATCGGGGGCGGAAGAGGGATGGGAGCGATGGGGGGAGTGAGATTGGGGAGGTTGTGTTGGATTCTACGTAAGGATACTCGGCTCGGTTCCGATGCTATCGTCGTGCGGTGATTCTCTGATGATCATCTTTGAAGTATGCTTAATCTACAGATGCCATATCTCTTTAACGTAGTTTCTAGACGAGCATGGCCTGGCAGGAATGAATCTCACCCATGAAACGGGAGCCAATGCCACCCTGAAAAATCCTGGGTTCTCTACCTTCACAGCGAGAACTTAGACACATGTGAATTGACAGATACTGCCGCCCTCGGGCTTCGTGATGGTAGCAAGCACATTTGATCTCAAGAACACGTGTAATCCAGAGTCTATACGAATATCAATCTTGTAACGCCCAAGCTAATGAAGACATGCTCTAGATTCCTTAGTAGCCTGAAGGAATGCCCATGACAGCTTCTTGCACAAAAGGTAGACGAGACTATGGGAGCATCACTCTTCTTCGATGGACCTCGAAACAGTAGATCTGCCCTCGGTCTTCGTCAGTTGGGGGCGAAACCACTTGTAAGGAGGGAATAATACAAAGCAGGTAAGAGATCGCTCATGAAAATGGTCTTTTTGAACAGTAGAATAACCAACTCCTATCCCCAAGGGTTGCCCGCTAAAACCCACATCTCTTTCCCATCATTTTTGACTACCGCCACCAGCATATCCCTTTACTTCTGCAGAGGCTGGCCCATACCGCCGTACGTAACCATCTTGGTAACCTGGTACTCGGCAACACCCAAAAGCGACCCCTCCCTTCCGAACCCAGACTCCTTGACACCGCCAAACGGCGCCGCCGGATCCGAAATCAGCCCCGTGTTGACGCCCACCATGCCGACCTCGAGATGCTCCGCGACGCGGTGCACGCGCTGAATGTCCCTCGAGAAGAAGTATCCCGCCAGCCCGACGTTCGTCGCGTTCGCCAGCTTCACGACCTCCTCTTCCGTCTCGAACTTGAACAGCCCCGCGACGGGACCGAACGTCTCCTCGCTCGACATGGCCATGTCCTTGGTCATACCCGTGATAACGGTCGGCTCGTAGAAATTGTGCCCGAGCTTGGAAATCTTGTTCCCGCCCACGACGACTTTTCCGCCCTTTTGCTCCGCGTCGCGGACGTGGGATTCGACTTTATCGATGGCGCGGTCGTGGATCAAGGGGCCGTGGGTGGTTCCCTCCTCGAAGCCGTTGCCGACCTTGAATTCCTCCACCTTGGCGGCGAATTTCCGCGCAAACTCGTCGTAGACGCCGGACTGGATGTACAGCCTGTTCGCGCAGACGCACGTCTGGCCCGAGGACCTGAACTTGGAGGCGATCGCGCCCGCCACCGCGGCATCGACGTCGGCGTCGTCAAAGACGATGAAGGGGGCGTTGCCGCCGAGTTCCATGGAGAGTTTCTTGAGGGTGCCGGAGCACTGCTTCATGAGGAGCTTGCCGACGTTTGTGGAGCCCGTGAAAGAGATCTTCTTGACGGTCGGGTTGGTGGTGAGGGCCTCGCCGACTTCGGGGGTGTTGTCGAGGGAGGTGACGACGTTGACGACGCCGGCGGGGATGCCGGCGCGGTGGCCTAGTTCGGCGATGGCGAGGGAGGTGAAGGGGGTTTCGCCGGGGGCTTTGCAGACTACGGTGCAGCCTGTTGCGAGGGCGGGGCCGATTTTGCGGGTGATCATTGCGGCGGGGAAGTTCCATCTGTGGTGTGTTAATCTAAGGCCATTTTCTACGCAGGACACAACAGGGGGACATACGGCGTGATGAGACCGCAGACACCGACGGGCTCCTTGATCGTCCAGACGCGGTTTCCGGGGACGGAAGAGGGGATGGTATCACCGTAGATACGCGGGGCCTCCTCGCTGAACCATTCGAAAAAGTTGGCGGCGTAGGTGACCTCGCCCTTGGCGTCGGCGACGGGCTTGCCGTTCTCCCAGGTGATGAGGGTGGTCAGGTCCTCTGCGTTCTCCATCATGAGGTCGTACCACTTGCGCAGCAGCTTGGAGCGCTCGCGGCCCGTCTTGGTGCGGAAGGTCTCGAACGCGGTGGCCGCGGCGGCGATGGCGGCGTCCGTGTCGGCCGCGGAGAACTCGGGGCATGATGCGATTTTGGTGCCGGTGGCGGGGTCTGTATGGTTGTTAGTCTTCTGTCTTTTCCATGATTTGCCATATATGTCTAGATATATGCTTCAAGTCAGGATTGTAGGGGTGGGAGTGTACCGGTCACGTCAAAGGTCTTGCCAGACTTTGCCTTTACCCATTCGCCGTTGACGTAGCAGACATCCTGCTTCAGGAGCGATGGGTCTTTGAGCTGTGTGAAGTGTGAGTGAGTGAGATTTCATATGAGATTGATCGAGTGCAGCCAAGATGTTACGGGTGGTATATTACGTACCTTGGGAACCATGGTTGAAGCGGCTCTGAGAGTAAATGGAATATACGGTGTCCGGACAGATCGGAAAATGGTTCTGGGTACAAATCGTGACGCCGGGGCGACTGCTCTCTGTAGTGTAATGGGCATGGTGATGGATCGGAGAAAGGATGAAAGCTCTTGGCTCGTTTGTTGATAAAGGACGTGGGAAGTGCGGGGAGCTTAGCTATCCGTCTGGTCTAAGGGGAATTAAGCTCCAAGCTTGGGGTCCTACGAGGATGACGCGCTCCAACGCTTCCCTTAGACGCAGGATTGGCAATTGAGGTGTGTGAGATGCGGTTGCAGCTGACAATGACCTTCAACGGCAGTTATCAACGACTCAATTGGCGAATTTTGGGTGAGCGACAACGGAGATGTGGTGAGAGAGCTGCGTCGGTGGTGAGTGGCAGAGGTACCGGGTGACGTTCGATGACGTCCACCCCACTTTGTTGACCGGCCCGGTTGGGTTTACCGCAGACCGGCACGGAGGTGGCTGGTGGGGGGTGTTAGGGTGCTGCACCTTGACAGGGCGGGGTCACTAACAGATACCAAGTCTACTCAGATCCCATAGATGATAAGGTATACATTGTGCCAGCCACGGCCCGGCAACCGAGGACTGCAGTCAAGAGCTCAAAGATGTTCCTGCCTTTGATGGCGTCTGTAATTGTTCCTGGGTAAGGTGTCTAACTTGAGGTATACGTACCTGCAAAGTAGGCAGGCTGCTCTTCTAGAGCTCTGGCTGTGTTGAACTCGATACATTTATACTTCATCTTCGTCGCAACTACCTCAGAGAATGTTAAGAACGGAATATATTGATCTAATCAGCCAGGCGCACGCTCCAGCTGTTCATCTCATCTTCAAGTTGTCAAGGAAAAGAAAGCTCAACTTGACCTGGAACCTTGATTGCACTTACTCAATTGGTAGCCTACGATACTCTTTCATAGGCCAGCCTTTAGAAGATCACTAGTATCGGGCGAGCCTCGCTTCATTACTGGTCTCAAATGCATGGAACCTAAATCGAATAAGAAATCCCGATCCTACAGCAACAACCCTGGCAAACAGACCAGCGCAGGCCAAGCCGTCACTGCATCCCCCGCGTTGATCTCGCCCGTTCCGATAGTGTAAGCGACCTGCATGCCGTCACAGTCCTATGCCGCCTGCCAAATCATGGCCATTGCTCGCTATTCTATTTCCTTGCTTCTCCTCACCTTCCTTTCAGATAGCACGCTGCAAGTCTCCCCTTGGCGACAACAAGAATGACCAGCTATAATCCCCACGACGGCGCCGTTGCCAACCCATGCGGGGAAGCTTATTCTCACCTCACTCTCTCTCATCGACATCCTCCCCGCTGAGGTAGCCGCCATTTCCCTCCCGCCAGCCATCATGTCGTCCGTCATCAAGTCCGTAGGCTCGGCCCTCGGCGACGAGCTCGAGTGTTTATTCTCTGCCTTTTCGCCTTGGTTCTATGCATACAAATTGCCCTCTGCCCTGACCGCCGCCGTTGAGCTACTTGCCGTAGGCGCCGTCAATGTCACCGTCCCCGGTCCCAAGGAGGCGAGTTCCGTCTTTGATGCCTTTGTGAGCTACTCACTCGAGTTTGCCTTTTTCCCGGACTTTGCTGGTACGTCTACTCCATACAATACACCCCGACTAAGTAAAGTGTCACTCATCATGATTTTCCAGGAAACGCCTCGGCACCAAACAAGTTCTCAGACAACCTACTCGCAAACTTGGGTAATCTACAAGGCGTCCGCCCCTACATCCGCGTAGGCGGGAACACCCAAGACTACGCCCTCTATGATGAATCTCTCCCCTACGCCGTGAACGGCACCTACGACTTCGCCAGGTCAAAGGACTACCCAACCACCATCCACATCGGCCCCTCCTTCTTTGAATCGTACAGTACTTTCAAGGACACCAAATTCACCCACGGCTTCAACCTAGGCCTGGGCGGCAACCGCTCAGAAGGGTGGGACACCCTCAAAGCCACTGTTCCTTTAGCCTGCAAAGCCATCGGCAAAGACAACCTCGACGTCTGGGAATACGGCAACGAGCCGGACCTCTTCTCCACCTCGGCCCAGGGCCCCGTCCGCCCTTCGTCCTGGAACGAGACTGTCTACGTGGAGCAGTGGCTGAACGGCACCCGCGAGATCGCCGCCGTCCTCGCGGAAGCGTGTCCCGATTTCCCCAAGCCCGTCTTCATGGCGCCCTCCAACGCCGGCACCGCCAACCGCCTCCGCGCACCAGCGCAGTGGGCCGCCGGCTTGAATACCGATGACAACGTCGCCCTCTTCTCGACGCACAATTACATCAGCGGCGCCGAGAGCCCCGGCGTCACGCTCAGGGGCACGCTGATGAATCACACTCGCACCGTGCAGTCCGTCCAGGCGCATGTGAAAGAGTACGCCAACATCACTGGTCGCTTCGACGACGTGCCACCTCATATCTATGGAGAGCACAACTCGCTGTATAACCAGGGCAAGCCAGGGCTTTCCAACTCGTTTGGCGCCGCACTCTGGGGCGTCGACTTTAACCTCTATGCTGCCTCTCAAGGAATCAAGCGCGTTCACATGCACATGGGCACCGACTATCGTGTAAGATCTCCCTTATCACCAAGTCTATGCTGATAACTAAACATCCACATAGTACCAAAGCTGGCAACCTGTCCACACAAACATAACCGCCCTCGGCACAAAAGCCCCATACTACGGCAACATCGCCATAGCAGCCTTCCTCGCCCCGTCAAAGGCCTCCCCCACAACTCTAGTCTCTGTAGCCCACATTCCCCTCCCATCCTCCGACCAGGAAACGACATCCGCCTACGCGGCCTACCACGGTGACACCCTCTCCCGTATCCTTGTCATCAACCTCAACCCGCACAACTCCACCGTCAACGGCACAGGCACGACGCCCGACCCGGACAGTGCTCCCGTTCGCGGGGTCAAGGTGTACAGTTTCGCGGTGCCGTGGGCCAATGATATATTCGCCAATGTGCGGCGGCTAGCGGCGAACGGGAGCGATGCCATCTCAGGGGTTACGTGGGATGGGTGGAGTTATAATTACGAGCTGGACGGGGGAAAGCCTGTGAGGTTGGGGAACGTTACTGTTGGGGAGACTGCGATTGTGAATGGGGGGAGGGTTACTGTTGGTGTAAGGGATAGCGAGGCTATTGTTGTCAGTCCTGTTTTGGGGTGTAGGGGGAAGAGGAGGTTGTGAAGTCGCTTTCAAGTGACTAATAACATGATAATCTGACATATACTTCTCTTACGACTATCCATTGCTACTCATTTCTACCAGCCTTGAGACAACAATCCACAACGACCAAACAACCACATCCCATACCACAGAATCAAACAACACCACACCAACAACCTCACCTCTTCCCCCCAAACTGCCTCTCCACCTCCCTCGCAAACTCCCCAATCGTATCAAACCGCCACTCAAACCCAACATCCCCCTTCGTCTCCTCCCAATCCCCTCCCACCCCCTCCCCATCCTTGACATCGCCCCCTCTCGAGATCCAAACGCTCCTCAACCCGAACTTCTTCGCGGGGACGTGGTCGGCAGTCAAACTCCGCGCCACGTGCAACAGGCCCTCTCCCCCTTCATCATCCCACTTCACACCAAAGTCCTCCTTCACATGCTCGAACAAATAGGAAAAGTTGCCGTCGGCGGGTTTGTAGCTGCCTATCTGTTCTGCTGTATACACCGCGTCAAACTCCACGGGCGAAAAGTGTTTTAGGGTGTGAGAGATGTTGGATGCGTCAATGTTGGAGAGGATGATTAGTTTGTAATGCCTCTTTAAGATTTCCAGCCCGGGAATGGTATCCTCAAAGGGGACCCATGTCCCCGGGAGCGAGCCAAAGGCCGTGGCTTCTTCTTCTGTGACATCTACGCCGAGTTCTGCTGCGAGGGTGCGGAAGGAGGAAGAGAGGTTGAGGTCGTAGCGCAGGGTCGGGGAGGAGGATTGCAGGGCTGCCGAGAGGGTGTCGAAGCGTTTTGTGAGGGATGCTTCCGTGGGAGGTGCGTCGCCGGCGGAGGTGGAGGAGGGAGGAGGAGGAAGACGGGAGATAATGGGTTCGAGACCGGCGCGGAGACCGGATTCCCAGTCGATTAGGGTGCCGTAGCAGTCGAAGGAGAGGGCTTTGAATTTCGTGAGGTCTGGGTAGGTGGACATGTTGGGAAGAGATGGGCGAGCTGAAGTGAGGTGGGATGGTGTATAGCAGAGTGTGTATATATCTTGGGCGAGTGAAGAGGAGGAAAATTCCTGGGTTGGGAATAAGTTCTTTCAATGACACTGAAATCTAGAAGATGGAGTTTTGAGGAAAGGTCTCAACATCCAAGATGGAAACAAAAGAGAGAGAAACAAGAAGAGGGAGGTTTGGCAAATTATCAGCGTTTTATACCGGTTCTCAGGAAACACGGAGGTGGTGTAGTGTAGTTCCTCCCCAGCACCTCATCCTCAAGGGCGCGGATGACGAGCGGGGAGATCGCCACCTCTCAGCACACCAGCACATCACTACCCTTCCCCAAAGACCATCATATCCGACGGTCTACCCATCCATTCCCCTTTAGGCTATACGAATAAAAACTTCATAAGCTCGCAAGTATAGTCAACGGTAAAAGTCAAATGGTAGCAAAAACCGTAGAATTAAAAAACGTCCTCAAAGAAGTGTGTCATGGGTATCAACAATACCAGTAAGCCTGCCTTACACGCCATAATCCTACCCAATCGAATGTAAACCCTCAAAACCCCGTAATCGCCATTTGTACAGTTCAATCAATCGCATACTCTGATAATCCCATCACCAACAACCACTTAATTCAACCGCGGACTCTTCCTCCTAGGCCCCAAGCTCGACGAAAAGGACGAAGGGGGCAGATTCTCCCGCCCCTCGATAGGAAGCAAGCTAGCATGCTTGCGACCCTTGACCACGGGCCTCGTCGAGGTCCGCTTGCTAAACAGCAGCGGCGCCGTATTCTCGTTGATGGACATGATGCTCGCCGCCGGGTCGAAGCCGTGGTTACCGGTCGTGTTGGGGTTCACTTCGCGAAGGCTCATGTTAAAGGGGGGCATCTCCGAAATCATGCTAAGGGCCGACATACGAGTCGACGTGCGCGCCGGCGGCGGTGACCGGGACGTGTCGTTTTCCGTGTCCGAGAAGACCATGGCCTCGGGCGCGGGCTTGGTGGGCGTCGCGGAATCGCTGAGCTCGGCGAGGAGGGCCTCGTGCGCTTCGGTCCGGGGCAGGTCGGTCGGGTACCGGTACTGGACCTTCATGGGCGTCTCTCCTGTCGGGCGGTACTCCTGGATGGTTGTTGTTTCAATGTCCTCGCGGAGCGCGGTCAATGGCTTCGACAATTGCTGGGTCAACGGGTCCAGACCTTGCTGCATCTCCTCGGTTTCGGTCTCCATCTCCTCGCCGAGGTCCTTGACGCGGTCAAATGTGGTCTTGAAGTGGCTCGAGATGTTGCCGAACGACTTCTCTACAGTAGATGACAGGCCCTGCATGGACTCGTTGTGGCGTTCGTGGTGCGAGGCGTTCTCGGAACGAGCGCGAGTGACAAAGTCGTCCAACGCTTCCATTTGAACATCCAGATCCTTCAGTTGCTCGTCCACAACACGAACAGTCTCGGCGTGAACCGACTTCGTGGTTGCCTGGATGGCCGTGCTGTGTTCCTCGGCGACCTTGTCGTTGGTTAGCATCGTACCCAGCAATTCATGGAGTCTGTTCACTTACAGTCCAGTCATCCTTCAACTTCTTCTTCATAGCGTCACGAGACTTGGCCACATCAACAAGGAAGTGGCTCTCCTTGGTATCCCACGCGCTCATATCCTCAGAATACTGGGTCACGGTGTCTTGCAGCGTCACGTTCGTGGCCAAGACCTTCTTCTGCAGCTGCGCAGTCTTCTCGGCAAGGCGCGTCTCTTGAGTTGTCGCCTGAGCATTAATCAGAGATGCAATCTGCGTCAACAAATTCTGTCGGTCCAGTGCCGCTTGCTTTCTCTCCTCGTCCAACACTCGCTGCATCTGGGCCGAGGTGGTCTCGTTCTCCTCGATAACGTTATTGGTTGCGCTCTCGAGTTGCTGTCTGAGTTTGTCGGATTCACTTCGCTGTTCCGTGATGTGCTTCACGAGTTCCTCAAACATGCTCTTGAACTCCTTGCCCAGAGAACTGTACGAAGTGTGCAACTGCAGACATATTAGTTCTCAAGACCGACCAAAAGTACCCGTACTGTCTTACCTGGCTGTGGAAGGTGTCGAGCTCGCTGAGGACATCTGCAGCAATACGCTCCGCAGCACCAGCAATGGCATGGAGGCTCTCTCCGACCTGCTGCTTGACGGTGTCGCGCACGACCTTGATCTCCTCGAGAACGTCGTCCATCTCATCCTTGGACTTTTCGTTCTGTTCCAAAAGCTGCTTCCTCGATTCCGCAAAGGAGTCGAGCTGCTCGTCGAGAAACTGCTGGGTAGAAGACAGCTTTCCCAACTCTTCACTGACGAAAGCGTTCATGCGTTCAGAGATCCCCGAGATATTTTCCCGCTGCTTCTCCTGGAAACTCAGTACACGCTGCTCCACCAAATTCGTCACCTCAGACACTTCGGCTTGTGCTGTGCCCCAAGCGCTTCGGTTGATGGATTGGAGCTCCGACTTTCTCTTGTTCTTCGCTCTGAGACCATCCACATCGTGGACCGTCTTCTGCAGGGTCGCAATGAGCTCCCCGCCAACTTCGGCCAGCTTCTCCTCGGTTTCCTGGTGAGCCTTGCGAAGGTGAGTCTCCTCGGCGAGGCTCCTTCTTGTGGCCTGGAGCACGACCTCAGTCTGTTCGAGAACTTCCTGGGTCTCATCGAGCTCGGCCTTGGTGCCTTCGTGGTCCTTCCGCAGCCCCATGAAGCTAGATGTCAGAGCGAAGAGCTCCTGCACCTTGTTCTTCAGGTTGCCCTCGAGAGTTTCCATCTTGGCTGCCTGCTCCTCCATAACAATGCGTCGCGATTCGCTCTGAGCCGTCATCTCCTCGTAGCTCTCGTTGGAAAGGTAAACACCGTTGCGCTGTCTCGTTGTAATCAGCTCGCTCTTGAGCCTTTCAATCTCGGTCGCAAAGTCCCTGAGAAGCATCCTCTTGTTGATCATTGCGTTCATCTGCGGCTTGTTGCGGATATTCTTGGCTCGGAATGCATAGTCTAGTGTTGAGATCGTCTCCTCGAGGTTGCTCTTTGCCGGCGAAATAGTGGCAATGATACATGTCTTCGTCTGTCCACCCAAGGAGTCTTGCAAAAGTCTGGTGAGCTTCGACTCTCTGTAGGGGATATGCTGGCCCTTGTCGACCAACGCGTTGATGACTCGGCCGAGTGTCAAAAGGCTCTTGTTGATCAAGCCCGCCTCAGCAGCCCGCTTGTTCTCCGCCCCGGATCGTTGAATGTTTTCACTACCGGCCAAATCGACGAGGTTGAGCTTGCCGGCGCTAACGTAGTCGTCACTTCCATCCTCGCCCTTCTTGCGGACGTAGGCGGTGACAGTAAAGACCGTGTGACTTCGGGAACTGAGATCGTTGCACTTTGTCGCCGCGACCTGACGCTTCAAGCTTCCATCCTGAAGAACCTTGATACCCTCGCCGGCGTTTCTGATATGTCTCTCCTCCATACCCTGCACCACTGTCGTCGCGTGTCTCCTCGATGTGTCGTCAAAAATCTTCAGTTTCGGGCCGTCTTCGACAGCGATCAAGTCGCGTAATTCTTCGTTGTAGAGTTCGATGAAGGAGCACTTGACGCAGCTCTCGGTATCGTCCACCTCGAGTTTGTTGAACAGCGCGTGGAGCGCTCGGGGGATGATGCCGGCATTGTCAGAAAGGAGGCCGAGAGTTTCTGTCATGTCACCTGACATGGTGTATGTCTTGCCCGTACCGGTCTGGCCGTAGGCGAAGATTGTGCAGTTGAAGCCAGCGAGCATCTACATAATGTTAGCCAAGTCTCATTAGCCAGATCACATCCAAAACGCACCTCATCCAGAATGGGCTTGACGGTATCATCAAAGACCATAGTCTGGTCAGCCGCCGCAGAAAAGACGCGATCAAAGTTATACGTCTTGTTGCTCAGCGCATTCGGGCCGAGCTTCAGCTCGACATTCTTGCCCTTTGCGCCGTCGGCCTGGACGACGACGGCGCTGTTCTCCTTGACCTCGCGGTCGTTGCGGCCTCTGCACCGGACGACGACGTTGATGTTGGTCTCCTGGCCCGGCGTGTCAAAGTCGTACTCGCGCTCCTTACGCTTCGTCGCGTTGGTGGCGACCGAGGCGACGGATTCGGCGGGCGAGGCGGGACGTTGGGTCTGGGAAGGGCCATGCTGGTATCGCAAGTTCGAGGTCCGCGTTCCCGGTCGCACGCTCGAGCGAGCCGCGGCGCCGGTGCGCAGGTTCGACGAGGCCGTCCTCGTCAGCTCCCGTCTGGAGCTCATGATTTGGGTGCTAGTATTTCTTTTTTTCGAGTGGTGGATGGTGGATGTAGTAGGATAAGTGGTTGAATGAGTATACAATTCAAAATCACAATCAACAACTCGCCGGGGAAAAGCAGGTGTCGTTTCGTGTTGAATGGTGTGAAAGTCGGAGCCGTCAAAAAGTGGTGGCAGTCGTCGGGATGTCGTGTTGACAATTGCAAGGGTTAGTAAATAGAAGATGCGCGCCAAGTGGGGGCAAGCTCTGTGGTTGGTCTGCGGAGTCTGCCGTCACCCGGGCAACCGCCACACTAGCTCATCTACCCACACCGTTGTTTCCTACCCATCCTCACCGGTGTTTTGGTCCCCTTTCTCACCGCTCACCGACTCCGGGGCACTCACCGAGACACATTGGGACTGAGACAAATGCCGTGCCTAACCAAGTACTCTACGTTATCTGTATTACCAAAAAACCAATCTCTGGCTTCCATCTGCATCATCGCAAGATCTTCGTAGTATGTATGTATCATTATGTATATAAAGACTTTCCCTCACGGAAATGATAATATCACATACCCTACCCTCCTTCCCTGCAGGCGGAGGGAGAAGAAGCCCAGCCCTCGAACGTCGTCCATCCCGCGATGTAAAGGGGAGGACAAAGGAAAGAAAAAGAGTCGCTAAAAATATCGCACTCAATTGGACAGAAGTCGAACTGAAAAAATCCCCGTCTTCCCCATGCTCTCTCTCTCTCTCTTTCCCCCTCTCTTCACCATTCCCTCCCCTCTTCCGGGTATCATTACTTCTCTCCTCTGCTCCTCTCTCTTCTCTACCTTTTCCTCTCTCCCTCCCCGTTACTAGATTCGAAGACACGCCATCTCTGCGCAAAAAACAACAGCCCAATGTGACTCCAAGAAAACTTCGCTCCGTCGGCTATGCATAGTAATGACAGTGCTTATGATGATGAGCGGGTTACCAAAAGAAACCACACAGAAGAAAGAAAATAACCCGCAACTTTCAACTCTTTGCCGCAAATAAGGGCCGGGGAGTTGGATCGAAAAGAAGGATCCATGAGTAGAACCAGACAAAAGCGCCCTGGCTCACAACCACAACAACCACCTGACAGCCCCCACAGCCCCTTGCCCGACACCCCAAAACACCCTGAGGATCATGACGACAAACCAGACATACCACATAAACCCGACAAGCACCCACTCGACAGCAAGCCACATGGCGCGACGGACCCAGCGGAACCTACGTCTGCGCCGCCGCAGCATGGCCTCGATCACATCGAGCGTATGCTTAATCTTGAGCCGCTGGCCCAGCGTGAGATCGCGGCTCGTCTCGTCCGCCTCGTCGGCCGCCGCGCGTGTCATGGCGGAGAGGTCCGTCGCCACCCGCCTGCGGACGTCCTCCACGCGGCGGTGCAGGGCCGGGACGGTGTCGGCGACAAAATGGTCCGCCGTCTTTTGCCAGTCTTGGCCGGCGCACTGGATGGATTTGCCGAGGGTCTTGGCGGCAAACTGGTACAGCTCCGTCTGCGGTACGGCCTTGTTGCGTATACTGGCAGGGTCGGGGCTGAGCTCCGCGATCGTGGGCCAGAAAACGTTTGCGACCTGAAGGTCATTCTGAGACGGTGTTTGTCGGGCTGCAAACGCGAGATGAGGCTCGTTGGCGCGGCGAGTAATTTCCATGGCCTTGATACCAGAGCTCAAGACTAGAGCACGTAATCGGGCGACTTCACGCTTCGACATGGGCGCTCGGTCAGGTGCGGGACTGTGGTCAGAGATGGACCAGTGTCGACTGCGGTTTGGGGAAGATCCCGGACGGCCATCGGGAGGGAATGAGGGCGGAACGGCGATGATGTTGTTCAGCCGCTTGTCCGCCTCCTTCAAACCAGCACTGTGACTGCCCGAGAGTGGCTCGCCCTCCGAGACATCTGATAAACGCTTTGTCGACCCGGGTGACGAGGTTGGACTTGCGCTCAGGATATCGATGCGCGGCGGCTTCAGCCTGTCAAACCGAGGCGACTTACGACTTGCTGACGGCGGTGACGTGTCGGGAAGTTTCGCCGGCTCGCTCTCAATGTGCCTCAGCTTCTCGTGGGAAGACTCAAAGGCAGGCATGATGTCAAGGTAATTCTTGCCGTTCTGCTGGCGCATACCCTGACTTCTAATCGAAGCCGTCCTTGAGAGCGGCGTTTCTCCTCTTTTCCTGCCTCTCTGCTCGGTGTCTGATTCATCCGTTGTGGTGCCCTCGGCTTCGGACGGGCCATCGCCAGTCTCTGACTCCTTACGCCAGATCAAATCACCAAGCTTCGACACGCCACCACGTATAACATTGTCGATACGAGCCCCTTTGAATAACCCTCGCATCCCCGGATCGTCACTGCGCAGCTTGGTGCTGGCAGTGCTGCGATGAGACTTGTGGCTTTCGCCCGTTGGGCGTTGGACAACCTTGCGAGACGGGCTTCTAGAAGAGCCCCTTCTATCCATAGACTTTCGATCACCCGATGATTCAGGCGATACTTCAAATGGCGTCTTGGGCGCGTTGGCCAGATCCTCCGCACTGGATCTCTCTTCCGAAATGCGCGAGCCTCTTTCCTTGCTTCGCTCGCGGAATATCTGTTTGACCTTGGAAAACGGGTTTCGAGTAGGGGAGTTCGCCCGGCTTGACCCAGGTGAAAGATCTCCGCCGAGCGCGGGGATGAAGGGATCTCCACGAATGGCGCCGTCTGGAGAGTTGGGGAGAGACGAGTCGACTTCGAACGAGCTTCTCCTCGCAGGGACTGGGATCTCCAGACTTGACCTTCCCATGCCGCGTTGAAGGTGCAACGGAGTGAAGCGAGGCTTTTCCTTACTCTTCCTCTCATCAGACTCGCTCGCCTCCACGATAGACGCCTTCCGACTGTGTTGTCGTGACTGTGGATGTGACGTGACCCCAGCATTTCGCTCCGGTGTGACGTAACCCGATCCGTCCGGCTTCTTGGGGCCGTTTTCACGCGCCTCCTTGGCAATCATTTCAAGCATCTGCTTCTCCAAGATGTCTTGGTGACTGCTGGTGAGCGTGCCTGCTCGATTCCTCCTCTCCTTCCTGAGCTTCCCTTCGTTCTCGCTCTCAGACAGATCGGAAACTGAGTTTTTGCCGTTCTTCCAGTCGTAGTGACTATGCACTGAGTTGCTGTGCCGGTGGTGGTGATGGTGATGATGATGTCCGGTAAGATCGTGCAGCTTCTGGCGGGCACGTTCTCGAGCGCTCGCTGTAGAATGTTCCGTGTCCGACTTGGCAAGCCCCGGGTTGCTGGATTTCGGATCGATCATGGCCCCTATTCCTTCGTATTCCTTACGCCCTGGTGTCTGTCCAGATTCGCTGCCATACTCTTCATTCTGCCTAGACAAAGGTCTATGCAATTCGACGTTCTGTGGGAAGATTCGGCGCCAGTGACGATCTTCAATTAGCTGTTTGTGGTGATCTTGCTCCAGCCAGTACACATCGGCGAGTAGGTCCGCTGCGTCGATGGTCCAGTCCAGCCTTGGTCTTCTCGGCTTGTTAGCGCTGGTGGTGGCCTGAAGAGCGTTTTGCTGGTCTGACACGTCTGCATCCGTGAAAGGCGGCAGCGTACAGCCATCCGTACTGGTCTGGCCCGTCGCAGCCCATTTGGCCACCTCATCAACCCAGTCGGCGACTTTGATAAAGTCTCCAAAACCCTGGGCCTCGCCATCGATCGCCTTGCGCTCCCGAGCTCGCACCTTCCTGTTGCGGATGTATTGTAACGGGTTGTAGGGACGCCCCAGCCGCACGCTGCCATCGGCACTACCGTAGGTGGGAATCCTCGCAACTCCTCCAGAGGACGTGGGCGGACTAGCGGTTGTCGGGCGGCTCTGATTGTGCGACTGTATGGGTGGGACCAGCTCCAGCAGGCGCCTGTACTGGGCCATCAGCTCCAGGTGCTCCTTTGCCTTTTGTACTCGTGCCAGGGTCGACGCGGTAAAGTGATTCCGAAAGGTGCCTTCCCGGCTCATGTCGAACGTCGCCTGCAGCGGGCTGCTAAGCATTCCCGTCGAGGGTAATCGCGGAGTAAGTGCCTTTTCAGGCCCCGGGGACCTCGTCCTCGACATTCTCCTCTGCTGTTGCAAGTGGTTTTTGAGGTTCGCGCCCGTCGTTCCGTCTGGAAGCTGTGCCAGCGTCGGCACAGCCTGAGGCGGCGCGATCCTTCGCGACACCTGCCGTCGAGATTCGCTCAAGTTAAGAGCCATGTTCACGATCTGCGCCGAGTCGATATCAAGTGGGGCATTCGCAGGCGGCGCGAAACTCGTCCCCGACAACGGTCTACTGCCGCTGGGCGCATCCCGTTTCCTGACCGTCAGTTTATTCGTAGATTGCGGCGGTGACGAATCGCCATTTCGCCTTGGCGGGCTCTCGAGCCCAGCGAGTCCATAGCCGGCATCGCGACCAGCGCTGGATCCAGACCTGTCCGATGCCCTTCCCGAATCTTTCGTTCTCCGGCTGGGCGGTATGTTGCGCGTTACGTGCCGTAGTCGGGGTGCCTCTTCTCCGGAATCGTCATCGTTACGAAAGGCATCCTGTAGCAAGAAGGCTCCGTTAGAGCGATGCCTAGGAGCTCTCTGCTGCTGCTGCTTCCTCGCGTCGGCCCTTCCCCCATGGTATCCATTTGTATGTTCAGCATCTCTCGGGCTCGATCCAAGTGGGCGGCGCGCACCGTTGCTGGACTCGTCGGGCGATGGCAAAAGTGTCGTGTCGTTGAGGAGGCTGCCTGTGGCACTCGACTCGCCCGTCTCGTAGCTACCCCTGCTGCTGCCCCTATCGCCAGGCATGGAGTGTGGGCTCAGCTTCCTCGTGAGAATGGCACGCTGCTGGGCGGCATCTTTCTCCGTCATGGCGGCGGAGATGCTCGCATGGCCGGCCAAGCTGTGTTCTACGTTGTCACCAGCCCGTTGGTCGGTTTCGACGCCGTTCGGTCGTCGTCGTTGTCGTCAAGCTTAGCTCTTGCTCTCGTCCGTCCGGTGTTCGGATAGTGGGCGGGCGATGGAAAGTGTCGGTTGGGTAAAAAACGATGAGGGGGGAACTTTTAGGGGTTCGCGACTCCCATGGTACTCTTGGTTGGATGCAAGGGGGTGGATGGCCGGGTTCAAGACGAGTCAAAAAAAGAGCCAAGTAACGGAACACCCCATGTGAAGGGACGAAAAGGTGACGAAGATTTTGGAAATGTTGGCGCTGATTCGTCCGAGCCGAAACAGGGCATTGACATGTGCCAGCTGAGCATAAGTTGGCGTCGATCTCTCGCTGCCCAGGATCGTGGCAGTCCAACGTTCGACCGTACAGTATCCGTCGCAGCAGCAGGTTTGTAGGAGCGCCAGTAGCAGCGGCAGCGACAGCGGCAGGAGTGAAGCAAAGCGGCGAGCACACGGACAAACACGGCCCAGGGTTCCTAGCCAGCTCTAGTGCTCCTTCCAACTCAACGCCTACGAATACAAAGTACTCTTTCACCCATTACGCAGCCAAAAAAGCCTGGCAGAAGCAAGTACCTTACTCCGTACCTCCCCCATAGCTCTGCCGTGGCGTTGCAGCCGACCACGCTAAGATTTGCTCCACCCAGTGACCCCACACATGCAGAAGAAAGGCTCCACCCGATTCGGCAATCGCCGGAGCGGAACATCCTACAGACCCGGACGAGCAGCGAATTTTGTCCAATCGTAAGGTGAGAGTCAGTTGGAGGCGGAGAGGTACCGTCTGACCAACGGCACGACAAACAAAGAAGTCCTTTGTCTCGCATGTTTTATTCTCCCAACGTCGCTCAAGGACATCAAGCCTCCAATTTCCAGCTGAAGCCACGGAAACTACACGGGAAAACAGTACGGCTTTGATATTGAGTGGTTGTTGAGCGCGCTAAGCCGGCAGGTAAATGGATCCCCCGGCCCCTCGATCCGCGCTAAGGTTTCCCGGATCAGACCGCCCATTGCATCTGGAAGGGTCTCCCTGCTTCAAGCATATGTTCGACAACTCTCAACCACGTGGCCTACATACCCCATATTGCTTTGTAGACGAAGACTCCAGACGTATGTACTTGACTGAAATCACCATACAGGGTACCTTATAGCGTTGAGGTTGTTGAAGCTGCTTCTCCAGTTCGGTACTGTAGTACACAAACATAAGCTTAAACTTGGCCCCGAAGTCGCCCGTATTGCCCTTGCCAAGAGTCTGGGCAGCGATCTGGTATCGTATCGTGCAGCTTTTCCTAGATTCAAAGTCCGAGCACATTCAAGACATTCGTCTGCGCCAATGAATCCGGGAACAAAAAGCACATGATACAACTTGACCTGGCTAGACATCATGTAGTTCAGATATCACCCGCTCTCCCTAACTGGTCATCCACCTATCCATGGGCCAAGAATCGTGTATATCAGATACGTCAGTCCGCAAGAACAAGCGCGACTTCTATAACCAGACCAGAAGAAAATAACCCAAAAGCAAAGTAGCAAAAATGCCAAAAAAGCTCGGCCCCCTATAACAGGGAAAGCCTACGAAATATCCGAGGAGACTCTTACCAGCCTCAGGTGTAACGATGCAAGGATTTTTACAAGTAAACAAACACGGGACTCGAACCCGGGACCTATGTGCGCGGGGCTATTCGAACGCAGATGCGCCGACATTCCCCGCTACGACACAGGCCTCGGTGATAGTACCGAACAAAATTGTTTCCTATAGACCTACTGTGGCAGTGGCGGTGGGCGGTGTGTGGGTGAGGATGGGTGGTTGGTGATGGTTGGGATGAAAGGGGTGCCTTGGTAGCTGCCTTGGCGGGAAGGAGCTTGACGAATACGTTTGCTTGAATCCTTACGCCCCTCCTCTCCCCTTCTGTTGTTGATGACTCGCAAAACGTCCTACACTTGTATTCTTCGGGGACGTGGCATCATTCTCATTTTCATACTCTACATAATCAACATCAATTACACAGTCTGATACATCAAAGCAGCGTAGAGGGGACAGATTATTATAGCTCTAGGGAACATCAGGGGAACTCGAGTTAGGTATTTTGTGCGCTCCTAACAAGGGCCTATTACCAGCATCGCCCCCTTCCTTCCCATTCTTCCAAGCTTCCGTCCCACTCCTTCAGTGTCCAAATTCATACAAAGAATCCAACGCAGAGCCCATCCCGTATACCTAGCGGGCCCGAACGGGGGCAAAAAATTCACCAACAACAAAAGATGGGCGCAGACAGTCTCTCGCAATCAGGGTGACCTGGGGTATCGGGGTATCTCACCCTAACCAACTTAAGCGTGAACAGGGGACTTGTACTCGGAGAAGAAACGCTCGTGGATGCGGCCCATGTACTCGACTAGGGCGGGCTTCTCGCGAATGAGAGCGGCGTGGACGGGGTTGCTGTGTCGCATTATGTTAGCTCTTTGTCTCTCCTACCCTTCCACTTCCGTGCGAGTACTTACACAGTGGTGCCGAGGACGGTAGCGAGGTTGCCGTAGACGATGAAGTCAGCCTCGGACGGACGCTGTCCGCCCAGGATCCAGAAGGGCTCTCGGGACTCCCGCGAATCGAGACTCAGCTTCGACAGCGAGGTCTCGCAGAAGCCGTTCAGGGACATGATAACGTCGGTGGCGAAGGCCTTGACCTCTTCGTCAGAGTAGCGACCAACACCCTGGAACCACAGCTGCGAGTTGACATAGCCGCGAGCCGCCTGCGTCGAGATCTGCTTGGCGCCCCAAACAAAGTGGGAGAAGGGACCATCGTGCCACATCATCTCGTACTGGCCGCGCCATCTCTCGTACAACTATGTTGAGCGTTAGCGTATGCTCCTGTATCCGTTCACTATCATGTTTTGGGTTCTCCTTACAATGAGGAAGTAAGCGCGGTCCTCCAGCATAGCTCGGATGCAGGCATCCTTGGCCTGGTCGGAGGGAGAGAGCTCCTTGTTGAGATCCTGGAGCTTGCCGGTCTGCACAAGACGCTTGATGATAAACTGGGACTCGCCGACAAGCTCGTCCGAGTCCGCAAGCTTGACGTAGGGCACACGGTACTTGGGTGCCTGGAAGATATTGGCAGCGCGGTCTACGTGCTGAATACCGGCATGGCGCAGGCGAAGACGCAGTTGAATCGAAAAGGGCGTGTAACCATACTGGCCGGTAGGGCGATCGAAGCTGTAGATGATCAGGTCGTGTCCAACTCCCTTCTCCACTGCGGCCTCGTCCTCGGCAGCTTCTCTAAGCTTGCGCGGGAGGTAGCGCTTGAGAGCCAAAGCATTCTGCTTGGTGTTCTGGGCTCCTGCCGGTGCGGTCTTCTTTGCCATGATGCGAACGAGGGGGGGTATATGGGTATCTTTGGGGGTATCTCTGGGTATTCAATGAATAACTAAATGTTCTATGCTACCGCAGACCACAGGAGGCTTCTAGCTGTATTATTTATTGTTTTTAATACAGCTTCGGAGGTGTTCGACACGGTCGGCCAGCTCGGAGCTGCTGGAGCTTTACAACATGGTAGGTGCTGGTCGCAATGCAATGGAAGCCCTTGGCTCCCGAAACATGGCCCGAGTCAGACCGTCAAGTAAAGCGAGGACAAAGCTGAAAAGTCCCAAGTCTGTCTTGCATGAATGCAAAATCAGATGGATTATTGCAAGTGGATGGGAGAGAAGCCTCGCAAAGTGATAGTCTGATATCAGCCACGTCATAGCTGTTCCATGTTGAGTTGGTGGACAAGCCTAAGAACGAGGCTAAAAAAGGGATGCGAAGTGGTGGTGTCTGAATATGCATGTGGATTTGAGCATAACCCCAACTTGTTCGTAGGGATATCGTGGCCATTCTGTAGCCTCGTCTTCCCGGCCAATTTTGGAGCTCCGTGGCCGTTGCAATTCCTGCCCGCTCAATCGCCAAACCACCTGACCCCAGGTTTATGCCCAACTCAAACCTAAAACACAGTCACCGTGTTAACATGATCGTTCTTGAGTACCTCAAACACGAGGCCGGGGAATCCAAATAGAGTAGTGGTTGAATCGTCGCTGCCATCAAATCTCTTGGCGCCACTGTCCTCCCAACCTCCAAGAAATTCGCAGCTGCTGCCGGGGCTGTCACCCCACCCCCTATTGAGCACCATGCCTCTTTGGGGGGCTCTGAAGTCGCCTTCAGGGTACGCGCTGTTCCACCGTTCGTTCAGTCTCTCTTTGATCTCGGTGAACTTGGTCTCTGAGTTTGCCGCCGCACCGGGAGAGCCATCGTCAAGATAGCTAACTTCCCAACGGCAGCGACGGTGTCTGTTGAACTCATATGATCCAGGTACGTTACCATGGAGGACTAGTTTTGTAGCAACCAGTCGATCAGGAGACTCCGACTTGATGGGTTTTCCTGGCGGCACTTGAGACTCGTGTTGCGAAGGCGGTGGTCTTGATGGGGGCGAGGGGGTAGACACCAATACATCAAATCCTAAGTAGAAGTAATTGTAGAAACATTCGCCAGAAACGTTTCCGGCGATGTCTTCTTCGATGGCTTCATCGTTGGAATCGTCTGAGCCAGTGTTGGCAGATGATTGGTCAGTGTCAGTGAGATCGTCTGGCCGACTCAGGTCAGCGCCGTTTGACCGAGCTCTGCTATGGCTCGCCGTCCGAAGCTTGTGTATTGTCATCCTCTGGTCGTTCTTCCGATAAGTAGCGTTCGGGGGGCCGAGCTCAGCGATCAACTCCTGTGGGCTCGTCTCTCCAAGGATAATCCAAATGGACGAGTTAGTCCACTTGCGGAACAACTGGAGCTTCCCACCACCATGGATCTTGACCAGCGAGATTTCGTCGGGAACGACATCCTTCCCCCTTGGAAGAACGGGAACCGTTTTGACACTCGGGAGAACTTCTGTCCAAAGGCTCTCTCGAGCTTGGGCCCACGAGTCTCCGCTGAAGACAGCCATGGATGTGGGCACCTGGCTTGTCGCAGCAGAGAGGAGCGACACCACATCCTTATTGGGGGAGTATGCGGACTCGGCCAGTCGGAAGGTAAAGGCAACGCCAGGGTAGGACAGTATGTAGTTACCCAGGTTATCGGAGGAATCGGGTGTAGGGGGTATGTACTCTCCACCGTAGGTTGGTCCGAGCAAGCGATGGTAGATTTGTCGGAAGGTTGGGCCGGAGGTAGATTCTCCGGGAACTGGAGACGATGGCGGTCCCTGCGCGTTGGCGGGTTTGACGAGATCACGGTCCTTAAACGTGACATGATTCTTCGTGAAGTCGACAATCTCTATCAGGCGCAGACGCTGTTCCGGACCGTCGAATCGTAGCCTTATGCCGTTGGCAGGGAGGCTGAGGGTTACGGGCTGTTGGACGGGTTGCTCGCGGGAGTAGGCAAGGTCGAGTTGTGGAAAGCGTTGCGGTTCGGCCTTCAGTCGCGTCAAGACATCATGCAAGGACGCTCCAAGAACTAAGCGACAAGCAATAGAGTTAGCGTCCGAGTGTGTACTGCAGCAGGCAGAGTTCATGCAAACCGAGAAATCCCAGAGCTCGTCCTGGGTGAAGTTGCGCAGTGAAGAGCGACATGATGAGCAATCGGATCGGGGCTCAGCGCGGGGTCCGCCAAGTGTTCAGGGCGGTATTGTTGCAGGAACTGCGTTGGGTTCTAGAATGGATATGGTGGCATGAGATGTGGCTACTGGTGGTTTTGGTAATGTCTTGCGCAGAGGAGATATGTATGAGTGAAGGAGAGTGCTCCGAGAGCCAGCAGTAGAGACGGCGCAAGTTGTTCTCCAGTCGTTGTTCACGGGTCCGCCAGAGGGGTTCATGTGATGCTGCAGCAGTGACAACGGACTAGCGGGGCGTGGGGTCGGAATGAGACGTCACTCGCTTATGAGAGGTACAAGGTACGAGATAGCACCGTTCGAGCAAATCAGAGTCGTTGAAGGCAGGTGCAGCAGATCCACCGGGCATGCAGGGGCCATGAGCTCTTATCTAATCGGACAGCAAGCTCCAACAGAACACCCCAGTCAGGACGCAGTAGGGAAGTTGCAGACCTGAACCAGTGGAGAATGGGGAAGCTGCTGGGCACGACTGAGCTTCCTTCCGCCGCAAGCACGACAAGTCACGATCCAGGTACCAGTGTAACTCAGATTTCGGATATACTTGGAAGGCAACATTGAAGAAAGTGCTTGCCAAGAAGGAGATTTTCAGCCCGTGTCAAAGTATCTTTTTGCCCCCGGTAACTAACTACACGTATATCTTCGAACTATTGGCAGGCGCGGGGAAGACAACCAGCGTAGCATCAGCATCAACATCATCTCAAGAATGTGCCAACGCAGCCTCTTGGCTCGTCGGAGAATCGCCTCTTCCATCTGTTTGCAAGGTTTCTGCAACATTATGGACTTCTTCTGTATACGAACGCCAGCCACCAGAAGCCAATAGACAGAGCTTGTCAGAGATCAGGACACGTTAGAGCCACCGGACATACCTCCGGAAAGTCTCACTAGTCCCCTCTCACGAGGCTTCCGGCTTCTCCACCGGCTGCCTTACTGTTTCCGCATGGAAACCATCCCGCCTCTGCAACAAGTGTGCTTGCGACGGCTAGCAAGATGCTTCATTCGGTAGATTTCGCTTTCTCTCGCCTGAAGTTGAGCACGGAGAAGCCCTCAAGGCCTGATGCCCACAGACCGTCGTTCGACGAACTCTCACTGTTTCACCTATTCTGATTAGTTCAATATACTTCTCTACAAGGATCGGCCACAGTATCGCAGATTTCTCACGCCATTCAATCAACCCCCTGGCCAGTCCTCCCACCACTACGGCTCGCTCGGAATTGGCATCGACTTATGGAGAACTGTGTGTACGCCCCTCAGTAATCAATAGTGAGCCTGAACTGGATCACAGGCCGTTTCGTCCGCCTTTCACCACGTTATTACATCAACCTGATACTTAGAGCCTTAGCGTTGCTGCCACAGTCTCAAGCATTGTCTTGGCGCACTCTTTATATCCAATAATCAAGGGTAACCTAATGTGTTGCAAAGACACATAAAGTACATCAACAGAAGCGCGGAGCATCAATGTTCAAAAAACCGCCTCATGTCTACCTCTCACTAGTATCATGCCACGATGGTCGGCTTGCCGCGGGACTCGTACCTCGTCTTCGGATTCGCCCTGCCTTTTGATTGACTTTGCTGCGTCTCTCGGAAAATACATGGAGAGCGGTTCTCGATCGGCGCAGCGGGGGTTACTACTCTTCAGTTATCAGAACTAGAGTCCAGTGAAGCCTCACAAGCCCCGGAACTCACGACCTTCTTGTCTGGTTATGTCTAGGCATACACTTATTCATCTACAAGAGCAGCTGTAGCAGCTAACCCTTAGCAAGCTTGTCGATACCTCTACTCCCAACAGACCGACACGGGATCAAAGTCTCACAAATCCTTGACGACCAAGATGGTGGAGTCGACAGCTGGATGTGACTGGAATCCAATCTGCAGAAGTAAGTAGACGACCGAGGGTGAGCAAGCGACCTTCCACGGGCCCGACTAGTCCCATCAAGCACTAGCATGGTCATCGCACCTAAACCGTGCTTCTTCGATGGAATTAATGGGATCAGTATCCACGATGAACCTGAGCCTTGTCGCTCGGTCTCGTCGCAATTGTCGTTGTTAGAGTGCTTCTTTGCGTCTTCTGGACTACAATACTTCAGGCGATATTCGTCAAGACTTGCAAGTATCACGGCGTCCCCGGTCCGGGGTATCTTGCATTTCTTGAGGTCCGCAATCTACTGCGCTAGGTAAGATCATGCCGCCAAGTAGGAAAAAGCAATCGAAACGTCTGTGAGCTTCTCTCTGGTCGTTCTCCCTAGACAGATATTTCCATTAACTCCGTTAGAGCAGGTCGACAACTTTTACGGCATAGGTGCCGGTTCCACAATCTCCGCTGGACTCGACTCTTCAAGAATACGCGGGATTACCCTTCAATGTCACTATGATTCGGTTTTATTCTTCAACTTGAAGTACGACGATGGATCTTGCAGATCGATGCCGGCGTCAGCGGACAGTTTCAAGACGACAAGTGGGCCGACCGTGCGATCACGCACAGATTATGGCCTCAGAAGTCGCATGCACTATTCACTTACCTTCCACTCTCTGGGCCACTGAGATCGAATCCCATTGCATAGCTCAACATCGAATTCGCATTCATGCCCAACGTAGGCGCTTCAATGCCCAACAGTATCAGCGCTTGTATGCGGCAGGCACAGCTTAGCCGGATCTCAGATACCCAGAGCTTAACATGTCGGCACAATAGGGGTCAACGACGTCAACGCCGTGGAATGAAAGAGTATGGCCAATCTCTACATCCGAAAGCAATGTCCGGCGTAGCAAGTTGAGCACCTACAAGGGATCGCGTCCTCGTTGAAGAAAGCAGGCCGCTAGGACCGGCTTCCGCCTAAGCTTGCCTCGACCCAGTCTCATCCGCGAAAAGCTCGCCTCACTCTTTTTGCCAAGACGTGTCAAAGTTTGATCTGATATCTGAGAGCAACTGCCGTCGGCGACAGGGTCCACCTCATGCAGTAGTGCAACGATGCTCTGCAACGTGAGTCGGCCACGCCGTCTCCATGAACGGCGTGTCGACTTTGAGCCCTTGGATTTACATAGACGACATACCCTGGCTTGGTTATGGCAAGCAAACTAATATGTGTTGGTGGACGTTTGATGTTCGCGAACACCAACGGCAAGCGTAACATACGTACACTTGATTTTTGACGTAGAATGTAGATATTGCTAGTGGGTAATAAGTACTAGCATAAGTATCACCGCCTTGAGTCTAGACCTAACAACTTCATCATGTAGAAGAACACGAGGACTATGAAAGGGGTTGGAGGCACTTCAATCGTAGCTTTCGTTTTACCGTCTGAATCCCGCAAAGCCTCGATAGCCAGTTCATCCTTTGCATGCTGGCTTTTGTGCTGTTGACCGTGGTCGTGGTTGGCCCATGGATTCGTTGTGTTAGTTGCCGGTCTTCTCCTAAACGGAGAACTATTCAATATTCTCAAAGCGGCTCCTTCTTCTCTCTCGTTGTGAAAAGAGTCTTCTGACAAAACAGTTGAACCTGATAAGTCGTCCTGCAGTCTTGCGGAGGGCGTTTCGTCCTTGCTGTTCGGCGGAAACCTCTCCGTCATTTCTCTTGGGGCTTCTTGTTCGTTTTCCTGTTCCATCTCCTCTCGTAGGCCCATGGCGAACACCTCGATATCTCTCTTGTAGTTTGATACCAAGGAAAGATCGATGTCCATGATAATCGGCTTAGAGCGAAAGTTGTAAAGGCTGCGTCCGATGTCTTGGTACCTCTTTTTCAGCCTGCCTTCGACTTTGACGTGCATGCTGGCAGCTTTACCAGTATGGTTAAAAGCGAAGGCTGTATGAAATTTGGGCGGGTGACGCGGGCCATTGGATTGTGTCCCTTCCAATTGCCATTCAAGGTATGTACCTTCGGGCGAGGATCGTGTATACCCCTTGAACCACCAGTAGTCCGTCTTCGTTCCGGATTCCTTCCGCTTCCATCCGAGACCACCCAGCCCAGCAATGCCACCGGCATCTACAGTGGGCATCAAACTTGTTTCTTCTTCGTAGGTAGTAACATGCTTCTCCCCAGCAAGGGAATGCGGCGCAAAGTAGTTCGTCATCTGAACTTGAGAGTTGTTGCTCGGCGTGATGTGTAGCCGTCTTCCGAAGTGTTTTCTATGCAAGCGCGTGTCCAGTATTGATTCGTGAAGAGTGATTGTGATTGTAGCGCTCCGAAGTCTATGGCCGGAGGGCTGAACAATGGTGAGGTCGACATAGACTATTCCTGCGGGCAACCCATTAGACCCTAGGATTCCCCAGCGAGCTTTTGTCCACCGGGTTGAACATTCGACACTAACTTTGCCGATTTTTCCAACTCCAATGTGGGACGACTTCAAAGTGAAGGGGTTGGTTTCATCGTTGAATCGATATTGGTCTGTTGGCCCGAAGCGAGTCTTTCGATTGATTGTGGCTAGATTGTTTTTCGCAGTGACTAGATCATCCATCGTGGGCAGCGAGAGAATTATGGGTTGTTGAGCTTCTCAGTGTTTCTACTTGTTCTGAGAGATGTTACGAGTGCGCGACACTCCAAGGCGACGAGAGACCTTTTTGGTTGGAACCGCCCAGGGTCATATGGCGGATAGCGCAGTATAAACCTTGGTTAGGGCCACGTTGACCTGCATATCTCTTGCTTTCTCCGTGACAATGTTGCGGTATGCCTTGCGGTTCTGATTGGACTTGGGTTGGTAGGCAACAAATTAAGACGAACTGTTCTGAGAATCATGATTACGCCCGGAGTACCGCAGAAGCAACAGACCATTTTTGTCGAAATATGCATGTTTTTACTGGATGTTCTAGGCCGTCTATCAGCTTTGCTGACATACCTGGCCGAGCTGAGACATGCCTGCATACATTGATGCGAGGTTGGTCGCCTGCGATCTTGACTGATGTGTGACGCAGGCCCAGTAAGCTTCCATACACAATCAATATTTATGCCGGGGCTCATGCAGCAACCCTGCGAACAAGCTCAGCCAAGCCTCGATTAAGCGCCAGCCTGATTACCCATCAGTATTAAGTGAGAGATCTCTTCTCTAACTACCTCACTACAACATTCATTGTTGCCATCGTTGCCCCGTCCTCATTTTCACACCGTAGTTTGTCGTGCCAATTCGGCGTCAACAAGGCAAGGCCAGCAGTCCTTCGTATAGATAATATCAAATTCGCAAAACTTCTCCTCGCCATGAACATGGGCCAAAAAGATGACAAGATCGGGGAAGAAGCAGGTTCGCGACCTGCCGAAGACAACAAGGAAAAAGTCGCGCGCCCACGGGGTAACATCCACTGGTTATACCAAGATGGCGCGGATATCCGACAGCTGCCTCTTACAGTGCGATCAAGGAATGCTCCAAATTCTGTGCCATCTTGGCAACAAAGCTCACTTTTACAGCAACCCTTTATGCTTCAGAACAACATTTATATACGGGATCATGCCTCTGCCGCCAAATCGCACAGCCTCAAAGAGAGTGCTCGTCATCGGTCGTCATATGATGGAACTTTTGCGAATAACATTTATGTTGATGTCCCTTCCTCTTCTGACTCTGAAAACGACGACTACCATTCGTTTGATTTGACACTGAAGGGGCATGATACAAGAGTCGGAGGATCTGGTTATCGTCTCAACGGCAGTAGAAATTCAAGTTCACAGGATGATATCCGGGTGCTTGTGAACCCTAAATCGCCCCAGGACGTTTCGCTACGCACAGAGACAGCCATCACTGAGGATTTTGAAGAACAGCTCGAGGAGTTTTCAAGGTTATGGCGACTAGGGAAATTCCAGGAAGCGACCACCCTCTTTGATGAATGCTTGAAGGATCTTGTGGACAACCCTTACATTTTGGAGCAATACGGCCAATGTCTGCTTGAGAAGTCTGACTACCTTACGCTCTCTCAATTGGCAAGAGAATTTCCACCAGAGCCAGCAGAGGGTACCGTACAGACTAGTTGGTATCTTCTGCTTCAGAGAGCTAAAGCTTCTTCCGAACTTGACTTTCCAACATTGTCTGCAATCGAGAAGCCAGGGATTTTGCAATTGCTGCGGAAGAATTGGCCAAAGTTGGACTCCACAGAGGTATGCAAGCTCGCGAAACATTGAAGATAGCATTCGATATCTAACTCTTATTACTTTGAGTAGATCCGAGTTTTAAAGAACGCCATCTATCTTGATGATAGCTCACTTGCATCCATGAGTGCGCAGGATCTTCACCAGGTATATCTTTACCTCAAGATAGAGGGGAGAATATGGGAATTCAGAGACATCTTTCAGGAATGTCTAGCTTCTTATGGCCTCAAAGACATGATCCGCATGATGTTTGGAGGAAAAGATGACAGAGGTTCCAAACGACAAGCGGATATCGTGCAGACGATAGTTGACGACTGGGACACGCCAATGGAAGACGAAGCAGTGTCATTTGCCTTGTTGGACATATTCACGACCTTGGTACTCGCGTCCATGGCGCAATTTGATAGTTCGCGTACAGCTATCAAGTACTTCGGGGTCGCCCAAAAGCATGCGGCGCACATCTTGGCCCAAGATCCTCAAAATCTCAAGTCCCGTCCGTACCTGCGCTGGGCCGTGGCGAAGGTACTAATAGGGCAATATACAAGCGAGAAGCCCATAGGTCTCGCCGCTCTGACACATCGACTACACCGGTTGCCCGGCAAATTACGCATCTCTAAGCGAGTATTTCCCCATCAAAACATACCCATTTATGCACCCATCGAAGATGAGTCTCTCGATTGGAGACCGAGCCCGACAACAGATAGCGAAGAGGATACCATCGTGATCCAAACGGTGCTCAAGACGGCTGAGAATCTTGGCGACACTGAGCTTCAAGCAGCTTGTATCCAGGAGTTGATTTACTTGTCCTCGGACCCATTAGAGCTACTGAAATCTCTCAGTGGCATTTGGCAGAAAGGAGGCAATCTTCGAAGATACAAGCAAACGCTCCTCTATCGATATCTTTGTGTCCCCGAAACACCTCCTGAGATTCGGGAAACGCTTCGTCATGAAATTCTCCTATCAGGCGACTTTTCGTCTGCTGGATTCTCTCAATACTCGCAGTACATGGTTCTTAGAGCTCTGTCGTCTCGGATTAACGAGAAAGAGGCATACCTGAAGCATGCTCAGAATCTTCAGAAGATGTTGGATGGAGATGGCAGTGCAAGTCAACGCATGCATGATACAATAGCGCCGTACACAAGCTACCCCAAGTCTAGCTATACACAACGCTATGATTCGAATACTCGTTCACGGCAAAACAAGCAAACGTACGTGCCGCCGTTTTCGTACGTTTCCATAGACCGCACAACGACGCGTGAACGGAACAACAAGAATCGAGAGGAAGCAAGCGAACAAGTTGAGACAGGTAAGCTCAAATCTAGAGCAGGCGGGGGTGATCAGAGAAAACAACCACTGGCAAACCCAACCTTTGGCGATCTCCCAAGGCCGCGGAGTGAGATGATTCCAAGCGAGGGAACTAACAAGGCCCACCAACTTGACGTACCTGGTATGGGCGACACTGTCGACGTTGTGCGAGAAGAGAAAGTGCCGGAGCGCGGGCCTTTTGAAAATGATGAAGCAGAAAAGCCAGCAGATCAGACAAAGCCTCGAGACAAGAGTAAGCATACCAGAGTCGATTCAGAAGACGAGATTATAGAGATCAGGCGTGAAGGTTAGTCAGAGTATCTTGAAGTGCACCAGTCTTTTACTGATAGATATAGAAGACCACGAAACCGAACAGGCACTGCGAGACGGGGATGATGGAGGTGGCGGTGCTCACTTAACAGAAGACAACGAGTACGAAGATGGGAATGCTTAGTGATTCTTAATCTGTCAGGGGAATCAATGAAAATCAATCTTCATCAGTAATAGTAATTAAGAGGGCTTCTCAACATACTTTTGATCAACAATAGCAGAATTCGGGAGCCTTTGATCATCCTTTAGTTGTCATCGTTTTATGGGGTAGGCCTCAATATTAGTCATGTATTTTAAATGTGAAGAATAGATTATTAGTCTGTTTCTGACGCTTAATCTCTCTTTCAATGCTTAATAGATACTTGAGCACTCTTAATTCTCTTACTGTTATGATTCCAAAAACTAAGACATAGACAGATCTGAAGTACGATGCAAGGTAGTGAGAGCAGCTTCGAGCACACGATGCCCTGCGATGTGGTTAACACAACGAACGCAATGAATCCAAGTTCGACCGCTTCATCCATCGTCTGCTGGTCAGAGCCGGAATTCGTTCATGTGATGTGGTTTTCTCCCCGAGCGAAGAATCAAAAGCCATGCCGCTTTTGCCGCTTCTGATTCGCGGGTTTGAAGGTGTAGCCCTCTCAACACTGTGTCGTTGGTGTCGACACGGGAAAGGATTCAAGCGATGCTGACTATACCTTGAATAGGTAGGTGAGTAACGTATGTTAACGGGGGCCTTCAACCCTGCTTTCCCCCTTCGACATTTTCCCCATCTTGTCATACCATCGCTACTAAGCCACGAAAAAGGCCTCTGCGGCGCACTCTCGAAGAACCAACCCGATGAACGTCAGAGACGCTGGACTAGCCCCTCACGATGCGGACTTCATCGTGGAAGCGTTCGACTCGACCCTCGCGCCGCTCGCGGCCTTGGGCAGCGGCGCGATGTGGGGGTCGCAGCCATTTAGTCAGAAAGATGGCTTCGTCGAGGAGAACCTCAAGGACGTCGCGGCGTCGGAGAGGTACCAGACTACCGGCGAAGGCGATGCTTTGCGAATCTTCATCGCCGAAATCGAGGTTGCGTCCCAGGCGGCGACCAGGGCGATTACCCCGCACGATGCCGGGCAAGACGAGCCGGGCCTCCGGTACAGGACCACCGAGGATGGGAAGCGCTACGTATCCGTCGGCGCCGCGTTTGTGCGCACGAATTGGCTTCCCGGCCACGTCAAGGGGCAGTTTGACAAAGAAGAGAAGATTCGTGACGAGTTGGAGGGGAAGAAGGACGGTTTCGTGTACCTCGATGTGGTTGTCACGGATTACAGGACCGGGCGGTATCGCAAAGGTGCTGGAGAGGCGCTCATTCGACGGGCCAGGGAGTATGGGGTTGCGGAGGGTATGCAGGTGCTTTATGTTGATGCGTGGGCTGGGAACGAGAAGAAGTTGAACAGGTGAGTGCGACAGAGGACTGATTTGAGATGTAACGGTTGTTTCTAATGACGGAGAATAGGTTCTATGAACGGCAGGGATTTGTTGTCGTCGATGGCTTTACTTTTGCGCGTACTGGTAAACCTGCTTGGCTTGGTACGCTTATGCGTCTGGATTTATCGACGATTGATGAACATCAAGCATGAACAGGCGCATCCACGATTTGTGTCGGGACTGTTGACGAGACACCAATAACGGTCTCTCACACTAGGCCACTTTACAAGTTGCTTGTATGGTATGTTAGGACCTAGCTCAGCCTCTAGGTGAAGGTCGATAAACGTATCACGCCATGTACGAGATCGAAACGTTGCTCACGGGATGGCTATCTGGCAGCGGTGTCTGGGTTTCTATCAAAGTGGGACTCGTTCGTAAGGTCCCCGTTTGGATCAGGCCCAAATAGAGAGAATGAAAAAAGAAAAAGAAGGAGAAAAAAGGACCTCGATAGGGGATCGAACAAAAGGTTAGGTTGAGTGAAGCTCGAGGACTTTCGGGTTAATACAAAGACTCCCCCCTCATACCCCTAGGCCACGTCCCCCTTATTCCTCTTATGACAGGAGATGAGAAAAATTGACCAAAGTACCCTTTCCCCAGGGCGTATTCTACTTTCTTCGATGGATCGAACGAACACACGACTACACCATCCATTCAAAGTTAGGATTGCCCTTTTTATGTGAAGGTGTGGGGACCCCGGCTCCAGGCGTTTATAGAGGCTCAACTGCTCTGCGTATTCAGGCTAAACAGAACCTCAATGTCACCAACCTCCACGTGGATTCTCTCCAATATTAACAGCCTGCTATCATGGGTTTTATGCATTGTACGAACGGTTTCCAGAAACGATGCTTCCTTTGACCCGGGAAATGGGGAACGTTGCAGTCATCGACTGAACAAGATAGCGGAGACTAAGTGGTAGAATCGCCGGGGTTCCCAATACATGTAGCATCAATCCTTCCCAGTTCAGGGGCCGGAGACACAAAGCATTCGGTCCGTGTTCTTTTTGTTCTATGAACACCATTGACCTGACTAGGTTTTAATGGCAAGCTGGGCTCAAAAGCACAAGCGGAAGACTTTGTCATGTTCAATCGCTGACTGACGGCCTCAAACGGTCGAGTAACAGCCGACGAATACCCTCCAACGAGGGAAACATTGATGGGACTCACATTAGAAATGTTAAAAGCTCTACAGCTCAATTCTGGCAAATTTAAGACTTTGTCTCTTTTCAGAAGCCCGAGATTATTGGGAGATGGAGGTGACGACGCAGCCACTAGTCCGCAATTCCTCGGAATCATTGCGTCCGCCGCCCACTTTCGCGGACCTCAAAAGGGAAAGTTGCATATATAAGACGATTTCTATGGCCTGCCACCCAAGGATACGAAGAACAGCTGTTCTTCCCCAAGCTCAGGTCTAAAAAAAAAAACCGCCCACCAGAGTTTACAACGAGGCGAGAAAAAGGGAAAAGATCGAATCTCACAATGCGGCCCCTCACCCTCCTAACCAAGGCCCTCATAGGCCTCCTCGCCCCCTCCCTCGCGAGCGCCGCCTCTCTCCAACAGGTGACCTCCTTCGGTGCCAACCCGTCCGGCGCAAAGATGTACATCTACGTCCCGGACAAGCTCGCGGCGAGCCCACCCATCATCGTAGCGATCCACTACTGCTCCGGCACCGCGAGCGCGTACTACTCTAACACGCCCTACAAAGGGTACGCCGACACCTACGGGCTGATTGTCATCTACCCGGAGTCGCCGTACTCTGGCACGTGCTGGGACGTCAGCTCGACCGCGTCCCTGACGCATAACGGCGGCGGGAACAGTAATGCGATTGCGAACATGGTGACATATACGCTCGATAAATATGCCGGTGACAAGAGCAAGGTTTTCGTGACGGGGACGTCTTCGGGGGCGATGATGACGGTGAGTTTCTATTTTCCAAACAGCAGCTTTTGCCAAAAGACATGTATAACAGGGGAGAGAGACTCTTCATCTCAACAAGTGACATTCTGCTAAAGTCGAGTGAACTTAGAACGTCATGGCAGCAACCTACCCAGAGCTCTTCGCCGCCGGCATAGCCTACTCGGGCGTGCCCGCGGGCTGCTTCTACACCGGCACCGTCAACGGCTGGAACTCGACCTGCAGCCAGGGCCAGTCCATCGCCTCGCAGCAGGCCTGGGCCCAGACGGCGCTCAACATGTATCCGGGATACAGCGGCAGCCGGCCCCGGATGCAAATCTACCACGGCAGCGCCGACACGACGCTGTACCCGCAGAACTGGAACGAGACGATCAAGCAGTGGACGGGCGTGTTCGGGTACAGCCTCACGCCGCAGCAGACGCTGCCCGGCACGCCGAGCGGGCAGTATACCAAGTACGTGTACGGGCCGAACTTGGAGGGGATTTACGGGACGGGGGTCGGGCACAGTGTGCCTGTCATGGGGGCTGAGGATTTGAAGTGGTTTGGGATCACGGTGAGCTTTGTTCCGGTTTCCCGTTTCTTCTCCTTCCCTTTCAAAGAACAGAGCTTGACTGACGATCCCAGGGCGGCTCCACGCAGCCGGGAACGACGACGCAGACCTCGGCGGCACCGCCGGCGACGTCGACGGCGAGCGCGCCGCCGACCGGAGGGTGCACGGTTGCGAGGTGGGGCCAGTGCGGCGGGAGCGGGTGGAGCGGGTGTACCGCCTGCGCGAGCCCGTATACTTGCCAGGCCGCGAACCAGTGGTACTCTCAATGCCTTTGAGCAGTTTCTTGGACTGTGACAGATGAGACGGCAGGTCGAGGGATGTCTGGATTTACACTGCAGAGGATCAGGGTAAGTCAAGGTAAGTTCAAGAAACGGCGCCGATGTGGGGCCGTCAGTCTTCCGGGATGTTGGTTCAAGTCTCTCCTCCGGTCGACCGAGCTTTTTGAGCCGAACGGTTGCCGGGAGAGTGTTTCCACTCTTTCCAAATAAGGCTACCTACTTGATCAAACTTAATTCTGAGGGGTTTTCCCCTTCTTATGCCCAGAATCAGCTGTTTTGAATGACTCTCATCCCTGAAAAAGTCCATGTAGAGGCGTTGTCGGCCGTATTCCGACCCTTGTCTAAGGCCGAGAAATCGGCCTTTACGCCATGCACAACAAGTGTGCTGCATGAGACTTGCTCTAGCTCCGACCGGGAGACTGGTAGCTTGCTTGGGTGTGCGCAATGATGCCACGAGATTTCCCAATACTGTTTAAATATTTGGTAAAATCTCGGAGTGAAAGGCGGGAGGATGACCGCCGCAGGGTATTGCGTGATAGCGGAGAGACATCGCGCATTGGCTGCTTGGCGAGACCCGGCTCACCACTAACCTCGCAGAATGAGACGACAAGAAGAACATGGTCTATCACGTCCTTCGATAACGACATTTTGATGGGACCCACAACAGTTATTGATGCGATGGAGGCTACGAGGTTAAAGATCGCAGGTGTTCGCTGATGGCTTCCCTTTGCGGCATGCTTTACACGAGCCTGATGAGACTCTTTCGCGGGCTGTCGCGCACGTAAACCTGAGAAGATAGTGATCTTTCTTGACAGTACTTGTCGTTCAACGAAGACACCTGAAATCATGGCCGACGAAAAAGAGGTTGAGCCCAAGGTGACGTCCACGTCCAAGGGCAAGACCGTCTCGGAGAAGAACGCCGACGTGACGCTGCGGCTTCTCGAGCAGCATGGCGACGAGTTCGGTCCCCTGACGCCCGATATGGAGAAGAAGATTCGTAGGAAGCTCTATCTTCGCGTCATGACTCTCCTGTCGGCCATCAACATCATGCTTTTTGTAAGTTGATCGCGATGGAATTTGAGTTTGTGTGATGAGCAACTGGCTAACCGTGACTTCTTCCACAGGTTGACAAGTCGACACTCGGTTACGCAGCTATCTTAGGCCTCTTTGAGGAAACTGGTATCAGACAAGCCCAATACAACAACTTGAACACGATGTTCTACGTTGGTAAGTATAACCCACCTACACATCCCCTTTCCGCCTACACAACAACCTTTCCAGCGAGAAACTGACGCGAATACCCACGTCCTCAAAGGCTACCTAGCTTTCCAATGGCCAGGCCACATCCTCATGCAGAAGCTCCCCTTTAGCAAATACGTAGCCATCACAATCTTCATCTGGTCCGTCCTCATCTTCCTCCACTGCGCGGCAACCTCCTACGCCGGCCTCATCGTCCTCCGCCTCCTCCTCGGCGCCGCCGAGGCCACCATCGTCCCCGCGATGGAAATCACAATCGGCATGTTCTTCAACCGCCGCGAGCAGTCCTACCTCCAGCCAGTCCTCTGGATCACCTGCCAGGCCGCGCCCCTCGTCACCGGCTTCCTCTCCTACGGCCTCCTCTACGCCGAGGGACCCGTCCTCCCCTGGAAGCTCCTCCACATCGTCACCGGCGGCCTCACGCTCTTCCTCGCCGTCTGGGTCTGGTTCGAGTACCCCTCCAACCCGGCCGAGGCCCGCTTCCTCACCTTGGAAGAAAAAATCCACGTCATCCGCCGCGTCCACGCCGCGCAGCAGAGCTCCATCGAGCAGAAGCGCTTCAAGCGCGAACAAGTGCTCGAGACCCTCCGCGACCCGGTATCCTGGCTCTTCGCCCTGCAGTCCTTTACGCTAATGTACTCCAACAACCTAAACTACGGCCAAAAGAACCTCATCACCACCTCCATCGGCATCAAGCCCCTCGGCTCGACCCTCGTCGCCGCGGCCGGCGGCGCCTTCGGCATCCTCTGCTGCGTCGTCGCCACCCTCGCCCTCCGCCGCTGGCCCAGCAACCTCGCCCTCCACGGCACCCTCTGGTGCATGCCCGCCGTCGCGGGCGGCATCGCGATGATCACCATCCCCTGGGACCGCAAGATCGGCCTCCTGGCGTGCCTGATCCTCGCGGCGGCGACGTACGGCGTGACGTACATCATCGCGCTGGGGTGGACGACGTCCACGGCGGCGGGGTACACCAAGAAGCTGACGCGGAACGTCATGTTCATGCTGGGGTACAGCGTCGGCAACCTCGTGTCACCGCAGATCTGGGTGCCGGCCAACGCGCCGCGGTTCTACGGCGCGTGGGCGTCCATGATCTCGGTGAGCTGGATCGGGACGCCGGTGATTTTGTGGATTATTCGGTTCATACTCGTGCGGAGGAATAAGGAGCGGTTGGAGTATATCGCTGGGCTGAGCGAGGACGAGCGGGACGGGTGGGTTGAGCAGGTTGACGAGGGCGGCGAGACGGTTCGGGTCAAGGTCGATTTGGCGGTTTTGGATCTGACGGATCTGCAGAATAAGCAGTTTCTATACCCCATATGAAGGGGGGAGGAACCAATTCCTCATAGTTGTCAGCGTCTTTGCGAGGACTGTTGAATATCAATCAAATTACCGCAAGACCTCGCATCAGCCTCTCGACTGCCTTTATCGGTCTATTTACTTTGGTTCAACTATGGCTTGGTGAGATGTAGCTCGACTTGGAGACTTGAAGGTCAAATTTGTGCTTATCCAGTCGCTCATAGAGTTCTTCTCAAACCAACAACCAAGAAGTTGTTTATGGGCTTTTCAAGAGTCGAAATGCAACCCATAAAGTGTTCAAACGGTCGACACTCTGTGTTAGATGCTCTGATTGGGCATGCATAGCCGTATTTCTCAGTAGGAGACTGTCATTGCCAATTGTTCAGAAGGCCACCCAGTTAGACTTCGCAAATTGGCTCTGATTCATGTAAATTTGGTCAATGGTGCGCGACTCCTATTTATCGTCGTGAAGTCGTGAAAAATGTGTACAAATGACGAACACTTCTAGGAAACGCGCAATTCGAGGGATCAGAAGGAAAAATTTGTATTATTCAGTTCTTGAGACAAGCCGTTAATTTGCTACGACATCTATGCCATGTCCATTCCATGCCTGATAACTCCCGGCTCGGCATTGGGAAAGAAGTAGTTTAAAACAAGGTTTCTGTATGACCTTATACGGTGAAGAATGTGACAAAAAGGGATGAATGTAGAATCTCGGACCAAGAAAGCCGTCTTCCCTTTGATACACGGCTCGATTACACACAATATGAGCCACGAATAGAGAGGTGGGCCGCAACCAAATACCAGCCTCACTCGACTCTCTTCTTGCCCTCCTCGGCATGAAGATATCTCGCCGTGCTGAGGCCGCGCTCGTGACGAGCTACAAAGGAGCCAAGGACGGAATCCTTCCGGGCCTTGGACATGTGCTCGGCGTAGCCCTCGTTGGCCCACGGTCTGGGGTTGAGCTTGGGCCAGTTGACCTGAGTTAGGTTGTCAGCTGGATTGAACATAATAGGAAGAAGGGTAGCATGATGGCTGTGACTTACGTAAAGCATGCCGTGGCTAAAGACAAAGCTGGCAGACCAGACGGCGACGGCGAGCCAGAAGAGGATGAAGACACGGATGGTGACGACGGCCTCGCTTTTGGAGAATAGACCGACGAGAACGAGGAAGATGCTGAAAGCGAGAAGGTAAGGGACCGACTGAATGAGAATGGGGCGGCGGTCGGCAAAGACGAGGGAGCCTCCAATATTTGCGGTACCAGGGAGGAACACGCCGAGGAAAAGGTCGTACGAGTCCTGGCGGGGACCGTCGAAGAAGTTGTTCTTGAAGTAGCGGGTGACGCCGATGCGGGCATCCTGAAGAGCGCCTACCTTTGTGCGGTTGCCGGTGCGGGTGACGTCTGTCTTCATGGCTCCGGTGCCAGAGTACGAGTTGGACACAACGTCGGCGTTGTCGGCCCAGAGGTTGCGGAACATGTGCTCAAAGGCCGGGTCTTCGTCGCGGAAGGACGAGCCGCGGGACATCAAGCCCATCTCCTCAAAGATGCGGTCCAACATGTGGCGAGCAAACATGGACTGCACCACGTTTGTGCGATCCAGGCAGTCCATGCAGTTTGTGCGCATGACGCTGGTCTGGTAGCTGCGTGGCTCGAGACGGCCGTCGTTGGATCCCGGCATGTCCACCGCACGGAAGTAGCCCTGATCTTGGAGAGCCTCCTGCAGCTTCTCGACGAGGGCGTATGCGCGGTGCATCTTCATGCCCTTGGTCTCGTGGTGGTAGTCAAAGTAGATGTAGTGCAGGCGGTCAAACTCGACGGCGCGCTTCTCGGGCTGGATTGTGGTGAACTTTTCGTCCGTGATGCGGTCGCCCTCGGTGCGCTCCTTCGGTGACGATACGAGCTTCTCAACCATTTGCTCGTATGAATTCTTGACGCGCTGCTCACGGCCCTTTTGGTTCACGAGGTTGATGAGGTAGTTGTCGCCGTAGAGACGGATCTGCTCCTCGAAATGCGCCTTGGCTGCCGGCAAAGCGCTATCGATGCCGCGGACCTGCAGCTTGGGAACGTAGCGGAGGCTGTTGATCTCGGCCCAGTAGGTGGGCACACTGCCGCGAGTCTGGACGTAGGACATGATCTGGGTCTCCTTTCCGTCGGCGCCGTACTTGCCGCTCTGCATGTCGCTGCTGCCGGCAAAGCCGCCCATACCACTGCCCGAGTCATTGAAGATGGTGATCTGCTCCGTCTCGTTGTAGTTGGCAGCGTGGCCCTCGTCGTCAACGCCTCGAGTGAAGTATCTGGTACCGCCGCGGTGTCTGGATCTACGGGAGATGAGGGTGACGGTGACGGGGGTTCCCTTGAAGGTGGTGGGGCGGATCTCGAGCATGCCAAAGATGACGGGGAGGATGAAGGGGTCGACGCCGGGCTGGGGACCAACATGGCCTCTGGCGCCCCTCGTTCGGAAGTCGATCAGGTCTGACTGGATGAAGCGGTTGAAGAAGAAGCGGTCGTCTGTGCGCTGCCAGAGCGGGAGAGAGGTGTCGGCGGAGGCCTGGCGCTGGAAGGAGTTTGTGAGGTCCAGAGAGTAGGAGAAGAACATGGGACCGTTCTTCATGAAGGTCTCGAGTAGACCAATAAAGGTATCTTCGTCGGGGTCTCGGATCTGGCGCTCGCGCATGGGAAGGATCTCGGTGCTGACGACTTTGTAGACCATGTGGCCCTTGAGGCGGCCGACAGGCTGGGCCTTGTTGATTATGATGACATACTTGTCTGGAGAGAGAAATGGGAGTTAGCGAATTGTGTTGTATAGCAGACCAAGAGGGGTTGACGGCGTTGCTGGCGACAGTATGGGATCCTACCAAGTCTGAGTTGGACTATGCCCAGAATTCCGGCGATGCTTGATTGCCGGGATACTCTCTTGCCCAGGCCTGCATCTCCAAGACGAAGGTCTCCGGTCGGTCTGTCAATGACCAAGGCAGGAGCATCAGGCGAGGAGGGAGAAGTGAAGACGTAAGAGTCGGGGGCGACCTTGACGTTGATGTCGCGATAGGGAAGGGTGGGTGCCATGGTGACGGGCGGCAGCGGGATGTTGAAAGGGTAGTAAGTAGTGAAGAGAAGCAAGAGCTAGATGGACAAGGCAATGCAAGGCTAGGCAAAGCAGAAAAGAAGCGAACGAATGAGGGGAGGTCGAAGGGAGGGGAGATGCCTTGAAGCCCTTGTTGTCGTCCAACTGGGAGGTTGTTGAAGTTGGAGCTGACGGTCGCAAGTTCAAGTGTCGACGAGCATCCAGTATCCAGAGCCTTGAGGACAGCTTGAGGCTTTGGTTGGCTGCACTGAATTGTGAACCCCAATAAAAATGGCTGTCGTCACTCTGCAGTCGCAAGCACAGCCTGGGTGGAATGGGGGGCAAGGGGAACGTCTCCACACAAGGTAAAGGTACTTTGACGAGGTACCTTCCCTTGGGAACTTGGGCAACGACCTACTTGTAAGTACCTTAGCTGAGGTAGAACAGCCTGCTTTGAGCTTCGGTACGGAGTACTGCTGTGCAAGGGGCTGGAGACGCACTGGAACTCTGGAAATCTGAAAGTCCGGCCTGTGAAAGAGGGACCAAACAATTGGAAGCACAGGCCATGTTCAGGAGCTATGATCCAATGAGGGAGCTGGGCAGCTGGCTGGATCTGAAGATTACATAAGACCGTCACCTTAGGTAAGCCTTGTATCAAGAGCACTGCTGAGATGCTGCCAGTCCTGTGACGATGGTGCCGTGGCTGATTCATGACTAAAGCAGTACGTACCCCTGATGATGCACCCGACCTCTGGCGGCGACAGACTGCCACCGCCCAGCAGGCCGGGAGAGACACAGGGATTACATAACACGGCAAAATCCTCCCGTCGGCCAATCAACGCAGACCACTTTGCCCAACTATCGAGCTGGAGGTCACCTTAGTCGGGCTTCTGGCGTGTCTGGCACCTGGTCAGAAGTCATCGGGGTCGTAGGTGTCCCCCGTCCGTCCGTCCATCTGCACCTGACAGCCCGGCGACTGGTGAGTATCATCTCAGCGCTCCACTGCAGTCTGCAGAGTACCTACAGAACTTGCAGACAGCTTGGTCCTTAGGTAATGTGGTAAGGTACCTTATTAGTCGGGCGCTAGGACTCTCAAGTCTCTACCACTTACCTACGCAGTACCTTACCTCACACAGCCCGTAATAAAGTACGGAAGTACCAGACAGTGAATGAGCATCAGTGATCACCGACACACACCACCCAACAGCACCCACACGCCCCCCCGAGACCCCCAAGAACGGTTGACCCCAAGGCAGTCACATTATTCCAGGCCCCGATTTACTATCAACTCCCATCCCGCTGCTTCCCACCTTACATTCCACCACCACCGACCGACCTTTACGCAGTACTCGCACCCTCGCCCCTCCCGCCGCGCAACCACGAATCTTTTGATCCACGACGGCTGCTTTCGCGACCCTCGATCCCTATCTCGATCAACGTCACATCGCCCTCATTTTCTCCATTACGACTTGGACCACCTTTTCCGAACGCCAGCGAACGAGTCCGTCCGGCGACATTCGATACAACCGCCATTCTAGACCAGCCTCTCGCTCCGTGTGTTGGGCTCATCAAACGCCGACTTTCCTGCCATCGCCCGCTTCTTCCCCAAAACCTCTTCTTCACTTTACGCAAAAATGGCTGCCCGAGGCCCCGGTGCTCCAGGTGCGCGCGGAATGAACACGCGCTTTGCGCAGTTCAAGCTCGTCTTGCTAGGTATGTGTTCTTCCTTGCCGCCCAAGTCGTCCATCACAACAATAGCTAACAGTTACGATGATACACAGGCGAATCCGCTGTTGGAAAGGTATGTCATTGTCCGGATCCTCATGGAAATTCCATCCGTTGGTGCTAACCCGTTGTCCAGAGCTCCATCGTGTTGCGTTTCGTCAAAGTAAGTTCCTGATGCACAACTTGTCCGGCTTCATCATCACACCAGGTCATTAACCTTGTGCCACTACAGGACCAGTTTGACTCCTACCGCGAATCGACCATCGGCGCCGCCTTCCTGACCCAGACCATTTCCCTCGACGAGAACACCACAGTCAAGTTCGAGATTTGGGATACGGCCGGACAGGAGCGATACAAGTCCCTTGCACCCATGTACTACCGCAACGCAAACTGCGCTGTAGTAGTCTACGACATCACCCAATCTGTAGGTTGAATGATAACCTATGGCATCCTTCACAAGAATGCTAACAGCAGCAAGGCATCCCTGGATAAGGCAAAGGCGTGGGTCAAGGAATTGCAGAGACAAGCCAATGAAAACATCATCATCGCCCTCGCCGGCAACAAGCTGGATTTGGTCACCGAGCAGCCCGATAAGAGAGCGGTGCCCACGGCCGACGCCGAGGCGTATGCGCGCGAGGCCGGACTCCTCTTCTTCGAGACATCAGCCAAGACGGCCGAGAACGTCAAGGACCTCTTCACTGCTATCGCCAAGAAGCTGCCGCTTGACCAGGCCGGCCCTAGGCACGCTCGGCCAGGCCAGCGACAGGGCGTCAGCCTTCAACCCGAGACTCCCGGCAGCAATGTCAGCGGGCCTTGCAGCTGCTAAGTGAGAAGAGACTCACATTCCAACATCATCATCATCACATATCGAACGAGCCCAAAGGAAATCGGCGAAAGATTGGCATCACGTCCGAGGCGAGGCAGGCTCCCGTTGTTGGCAGACTGCGCGAGGGCACCCATGAGTTCAGGCACCGCACCAATACAAGCACGCACACGACGGCGTTTGGGCTGGATGGGTTTGGGCTGAAGAAGAGCGTTGTCGCAAACCCCGACACCAAAGAATGGGTATGCCAGACCCAGCTTTTTAATATCAACAGTACTTTTTTTTGAGAGAGAGAGGGAGAGAAGGGGAAGAGTCAAGGGGAGAAGAGGAGAGAGTTGCGCGCGTGTGTGTGTGTGTGTGTGTGTGTGTGTGTGTGATTTTACATTTCGAGTCTTTGAGCTGGTCATTCGGTTGCGGCAACTCGGGTGTAGGGACAGTCCTGGGATAAGACGGTGTACGGGAACGGATTCACTTTACTGGGGGAAGCATCCTGCAGCATTTTTCTGATGTACAGTATGCGATAGAGGCAACTGTTTCTCAAGGATGGGGCCGTATACAATTTCTTATCGTTTCATTTCTGGGCTTGGTGATGCACTACACATGGTCCTATGGACGCATATACACACAGCTCGTGGATGCCGATGAAGATTTCCAAATGGAGCCACCAAGGAAGTGAAGCTTGGTGACGTAGTTGTAGGTATTATCTTTTTTTCCACCGAATAATTCGCCAGGTTATCAAGACTGTTGAGAGAAAATTCACGCAAAGCAGAAACCTGTATTATTTCTATTAAAATGTGATGGAAATCAATTTGATGAAGACGGGAGAGTGTGAAAGCCGCGTGTCAATAATTGACAGGTGTCGCCGCCGAGTGACGAGTGACGTGAGCTCTTTCTGAGGTACTTTACGCAGTACCTAAGGTCAGGTACCTTAAGGTATGGGCGCAGGCAGGTGGTCCTGGCTGAGATCCCGGTTCCTGCCGCTCGGCGCTCGCAGCGGACCAGCACGGCGCGGCTGGAAAGCTCACCCAGTTTTAGCCGAACTTTTCCCTGAGCTTTTTTGTGCCTGGATTCCCGTCACCAAAAGGTACGGAACACCTCCCACTGCAACTCCCCTTCGACATCATTCACCCCCAATTACGCCCTGTCGGCCCATTGCATCCCCTCATGTTGCGAACGTCGATTCGATCCGTGAGGGTGCTCGGCCACAGGCCTGCGGCGGCCGTTGTTGGCCGCCAATGGCAGGCCGCTGCCGCCCGCCAGAGGAGGCATTTCGCAGACGACAAGAAGCCCGCTGTCGACCCTTCCAAACCCGCCGTCCTGCCGGCATCAGAGACCATCACCTCAGAGAAGAGCGCCGTCCCCGAGATCTCCGCCGTCGAGCCGACCATCCCCAAGCAAGAGGTTCCTCTCACGCCCCCGACTCCCGATCCCGCGGTCGTTGTTCCCAACCTCGAGGCTGCCACTGCCGCTGCTCCTCCTCCGCCCGAGTCGCCCGCCGCTGCCGCGCCCAAGAAGAAGGGTTTCTTCCGCCGATTGAGAAACCTCGTCTTGACCCTCGCCATCCTCGGCGCCGTCGGCTTCGGAGGTGGTGTCTGGTACTCGCGCGTCAACGATACCTTCCACGACTTCTTCACCGAATATATTCCCTTTGGCGAGCAGGCCGTTCTCTACTTTGAGGAGGCAGACTTCCGCAAGCGATTCCCCAACCTCTCCAACAAGATCAAGGGAAGAGATACCGGCAGCCAGGTCAAGATCCCCGCCCAGAGCGGCGCGTCATGGAGAGTAGCCGATAACGGCGAGCCCGCCGGTCGTCAGTCGAGCGCTGTTGACAAGGCTGCTGCCAAGGTCGTCGCCGTCAAGGAGGAGGTGAGCAAGCCGGCCGAGAAGCCCAAGCCTGCGCCAGAGGCTCCCAAGGCTGCTCCTGAGCCCGCCAAGGAGACCAAGCCTGCTGCTGCTGCGCCCAAGGAGGACTCGAACGGATTCAAGGCCCCCGAGGTTAACGAGCCTTCGCGATTCCCTCCCATTGCCCCGATCGACGCCCTGAAGATTGAAGATGCCACCGAGCCCGTCGTCCAGGACCTCGTCCGCATGCTCAACGACATCATCACCGTCATCAACGCCGACAAGGCCCACGGCCGCTACTCTCCCACCATTGCCAAGGCCAAGAGCGAGTTAAGCAAGGTCGGAGGCAAGATCAAGGCCATCAAGTCTTCGGTCGAGGAGAAGGCCGCTTCCGAGGTTGAGGCCAAGGTCGCCGACTTTGACAAGGCCGCTAACGACCTGATTGCTCGCGTTGAGTCCGCCATGGTCGCCCAGGAGACCCAGTGGAGAAAGGATTTCGAGGACGAGATGAAGAAGGTCAAGGATGCCTACAACGAGCGCGTCAAGCTCCTGCTGGAGCGCGAGAAGCAGCTCAACGAGGAGCGTCTCAACAACCAGCTGCTTGAGCAGGCGCTCGCCTTGAAGAAGGAGTTCGTCGCTGAGGTGCAGGGCCACGTCGAGGCCGAGCGCGAGGGTCGCCTCGGCAAGCTCAACAACCTGTCGGCGGCCGTCCAGGACCTCGAGAAGTTGACGACGGGCTGGAACGAGGTTGTCGACACCAACCTCCGCACGCAGCAGCTCCACGTCGCCGTGGACGCCGTCCGCGCCAGCCTGGAGAACGCGACGACGCCCAAGCCGTTTACGCGCGAGCTCGTTGCGCTCAAGGAGATTGCGGCCGAGGACCCCGTCGTCAACGCGGCCATTGCCTCGATCAACCCGTCGGCCTACCAGCGCGGTCTCTCCAACGCGGCACAGCTTATCGACCGCTTCAGGATAGTCGCCAACGAGGTGCGCAAGGCGTCCCTCCTGCCCGAAGAGGCCGGCGTCGCCAGCCACGCGTCAAGCTACCTTCTCAGCAAGGTCATGTTCAAGAAGCAGGGCCTGGTCGGCGGCGACGACGTCGAGAGCATCCTCACCCGCACGCAGACGCTGTTGGAGGAGGGTAACCTGGATGCCGCGGCCCGTGAGATGAACGGTCTGCAGGGCTGGGCGAAGACGCTGAGCAGAGACTGGCTCGGTGAGGTGAGGAAGGTTCTTGAGGTCCAGCAGGCTCTTGATGTGAGTACACCCCCCCTGAATGCATTGGAAAAATAGTTGAAAGCTAATGTGTTTGATTTCAGGTCATTGCGACAGAAGCGCGTCTGCAGAGTCTCAAGGTAGAATAATGGACGGGAAACATTTTTTCTTTTGTTCTAGTATGAAAGGGGGGCTCTTCCATGGGGAGAATATTTAGAAGACGGAGAGAGAGAGAGAGAGAGTGAGGATAGCCTAGACCTCTGGTCTGTGTAAGACATAGCCCATAGACTTGAACGAAGGCAGTGTATTTTATCAAGTCTTTCTACTTGTGATGTTCTGTACTTGTGACCCAGAGCGGTCTACCATTTGCTGAGTTGATTCGGTCGGGCCATTACTGAACTTGGAAAGGAGCTTATTGTAAACACACATGGTCAACTAGTACCTAAGGTGAATGGTATAAAAACACGAATTGAGTTTGAGAGGGTCTTCGACGCGTTGTCGCAAGCCGGTGCCACGAGAGCCGTCTGGACTGACTACCTTATTTGGCGCAAACTTGTAAGGAAACGGGACGAGCGCCGAGCGCAGGGCCCCCGGACCACGCTCTCCCGGCTTGAGTCCCGAAGCGCCCACCCCCAGTGGAAGCCGCATATAACCAGAATGAACCCCCCACCGAAACCCGGCAGCAGACGCAGCAGCTTACCACACCCCGAAATTCTACCTTTCCAAAGTACCTTGAGGTAATCAGAGTTCAAGGGAGAGCTCTGGTAACCCCTCCATTTCGAGCCCCGCCACAAAGTAAGGTACCACCAAAAAAAGAGGGAGCATTCCCAACGTCCTTGATGCATCATGCATCCCGCCACGTAATACGCCTCACGCGCAGCAGCATCAGCAACAGCAGGAGTTTTCTATTTTCGCGCTTTCTGGGACGACGAATGATGGCTACTGCCGGGAGGACGTACAATGTAAGTCTTTCCCCAAGATACCCCCTCCCCGCTGTGAAGCTTCAGAGTGTTGTCCGAGGTCGGAGATCGGGGATGTCTTTTGCATCTTCAAGCTTGAGTTTACAGAGCCACGCAATTGAGGATCGCACGACGGGGAGGGACCAAGAACTACGTAACGAAGCTTTACTAACTCAGTCTAACCCCCAGGACGCCGTCGACGCGCTCAACACCCTCCAAACCCCCTTCGCCGTAATCGAAGCCCGGCGCAAGGCAGGCATCCGCCCCGACGAAGCCTCCGTCGCCGAGATGCGAGCCTACCTCGCGCGCGTGGGCTACTCCGTCTCCGACCTCGACAGCCTCAACGTGATCCACGTCGCGGGGACAAAGGGCAAAGGAAGCACCTGCGCCTTCACGGACTCCATCCTCGCGCGGCACCGCGCCGCTTCCGCCAAGTCGATACCGCGGAAGGTCGGGCTGTTGATCTCGCCGCATTTGATCGCGGTCAGGGAGCGGATCCGGATTAACGGCGTGCCGATATCCGAGGCGCTGTTTGCGCGGTATTTCTTCGAGGTGTGGGATCGGTTGGGGGAGGAGAATAAGACGCAAGAAGAGGTTGTCGCGGTGGGGACGAGGCCGATTTATTCGCGGTATCTCACGCTGGTTAGTTTCCACGCTTTCCTGAGCGAGGGGTGCGATGTTGCGATTTTGGAGACGGGGATCGGGGGGGAGTACGATGCTACGAATCTCGTGGGACGGCCTGTGGCGACGGGGATCACGACGTTGGGGATCGATCACGTTTTTGCGCTGGGGGATACGGTGGAGAAGATTGCGTGGCATAAGGGGGGGATTATGAAGACGGGGAGTAAGGGGTTTACGGTTGAGCAGGTTGCTGGGGCGGCGGGAGTGTTGGAGGAGAGGGCGAGGGAGAAGGGGGTTGATATGGAGGTTGTTGGTGTTGATTCGAGGTTGGAGGGCGTCAGGATCCGGCCTGATGCGGTTTTCCAGAAGAGGAATGCGAGTTTGGCGGTGAGGTTGGCGGAGACTGCGCTGGAGAGGGTCGATCCCGAGTTCAGGAGGGATCCGGAGAGGTTGTCGAAGCCGTTTGTGGAGGGGTTGGAGGGGGTTGTGTGGAGGGGGCGGTGTGAGGTCAAGGAGGAGGGCGCTGTTGCGTGGTACGTTGACGGGGCGCATACGACGGATAGTCTGAGGATGGCGGCGCGGTGGTATGTGGATGAGAGTGCGAGCAGGGGGAAGAAGGGGCCGAGGGCGTTGGTGTTTAATCAGCAGGGTCGGACGGAGGCGATTGACTTTCTGGATGGCATGTATGAGGCTATCAAGAGGGTGGATGGGCGGGCGTTTGAGAGCGTGGTGTTTTGTACGAATGTTACGTATGCCCAGACTGGGTATAAGCGAGGTAAGTCCCCTTTCTCTCTACGATCATCAATGGGATGGGAGAGAGTATTTGGATGAGAGAGGAAGATGCTGACTTGATGAGCAGACTTTGTCAACCACCAGTACGACGCCAAAGCCATCGAGGCCATGACGGTGCAGAGGCAGTTTGCGGAGCGCTGGTCCAAGCTGGATCCCCACGCCGACGTGCGCGTGATACCGACTATCGAAGAGGCGTTGAACCACGTTCGGAGCGTCGGCGAGGGCCTGCCGGAGGGCGAGAGCGTGCAGGCTCTTGTCACGGGGAGCTTGCATCTTGTTGGTGGCGCATTAGGGATTCTGGAGGGCGCGGATGCTTTGTAGATGTTTACAGGGTGTGGAGTATTCATGTTGCTTTTGCGTTTGACTCTAAGAGTATGCGGTCTTATGGGATAGAATGGGGTTTAACAACGGCTTTACATAGGGGGACGAACAGACATGTCCTCACGGATTCAACTCTAGAATTAAATGTTCTATATTCTTTAGTCTTCTATTCTGGGTGGAATCACAATAGATTTTCCGGCTCCAAGAAGCCGATGACGTTCCCAACGAGATACATGCTCCCCGTGACCAGCACTTTTGTCCCCGACGTCGACATCCCCGCGACGCCATCGACGGCGCTCTTCATCTCCATCAGGTCCCTGCACACCACGACCTTTGTAGCAGGATACAGTTCCCTAAACGCCGCAGCACACGCCTCCTGGACACTGAGATCCACCTCCCCGCCCTCGCCGGCGATGTTAGTCTTGTCGTTCCTCGTGAAGATGGCGGCGGAAAGCCTCGTCTCGAGTTCAACACCCAGGGTCTTCATCTGGCGGAGGAACTCTGTCAGGAGAGCGGAGGCGTCGCGTTCTTGTTGATTGAAGACGAGGACGAAGCTGGCCTCGTTGTTTGTAGTGTCTGAGGTGTTGGGAGAGGTGATGATGGGAGATATCCAGCGCGCTACTTCCGCCAGACTATCCGCGTTATGCGCCCCGTCGAGGTACCATGACACCTTGCCCTGTCTGAGAATTTCATGCCGGCCACGGAGCGTCGCCTCGCGTAGACCGGCGATGATGACTTCAGGGACATCCGCCAGCGAAGAATTCACCTCCCCTACCGTACTCGACCCCGCGTCCCGAGCTTGAAGGACCTGGATATGCCGCCTCGCAGCCAGCGCAGCGAGAGCCTGGTTCCTCTTCTGAAAGTCTCCGCCGGGTAACTTTGCATCCTTGACACCGCTCCACTTAACGACATCCTCGTCCTCGACCTCGATCAGCTCCGCGCCTACCTCTCGCGCGCGGGAGCGGAGGGTGGCCATCACGCCCGGGTGCACCTCATCAGATAACCCGCGCGTAAACGTCGCGACGCCGGGCTTCATCACGCCCGCTTTATGCCACGCAATCTGCGAAGGCGTGGACCCCAGCATGGCAACGTGATCGATGCCCAGCTGCGTGATGACCGAGGTCGTCACCGCCTCGGGCGGGATGGCGTTCGTGGCGTCGTATTCGCCGCCGATGCCGCATTCTAACACCACGGTGCGGACGCGGAGCTTGAGGAAGACGTGTAGGGCGAGGAGGGTGAGGAAGCGGAAGTAGAAGGGTTTGGAGCCCGGTTCGATGCCGAGGTTTGGGCCGGATGTGCTGGCGGTGCTGCCCGGGGCGGAGGGGGAGGTGCAGGAGGTGAGGGTGTCCCATAGTTCGAAGAAGGATGTTGCGAAGAGGTGTTGGGAGATGGGGTGGTTGGAGATTGCGATGCGTTCGCGGGGGGAGAGGAGGTGGGGGGAGGTGTAGGTTCCTATGGGGCCTATTGAAGTCGTGGAGGAAGAGGATGAGGAGGAGGATGAGTGGTGGAGGAGGGCCGAGGTCGTGAGGGCTGAGACGGAGCCTTTTCCTTTTGTGCCTGCGATGTGGATGAAGGAGAGGGAGGAGAGGCGTTCGGGGGTGAGGTTTGCGCGGAGGAGCCAGGCGCGCATTTCGGGGATGGCGAGGAGGTTCGGGTCTGGTGCTGGTGCTGCGGTGGTAGGAGGGGCATCTTTTGGTTTGTTGAAGAGGGCGTGGACTTTGAGGTTTGGGATGAGGGTGTTTAGGAGGTTGATTGCGTCGGTGTAAGTCCGTGATGATGGCGGTGTTGCGGAGGAGGACATTGTGGTGATGAGTCTTGATGAGGAGGTATTATTGGAGGGGTGTTTTATGAGGCGCAATGAGGCTGAGGCTTGGTGCGGACGGAAGAAGAGCCTCATGAGTGTGAGATACTGGAGAGAGGTGGATGGTAGGGGTGTGTGATCACGACGTTGAAAGAAGCATTGTTTGTGAGTTTGACGTGTGGTGGTTGAGGCTGAAATTAGGTTGGTGGTTTGTGAGTGGTGAAGCTTTTTGAGTGAGTTCCCACTTGAGATGAGAGTGAGCGGTTCAAGGGAGGCTTGGAACTCCACTCTCGAGGGATGTCAGTCACACATGTTTGTATCACCTTTACTGGTTGAAGTAGTACTCAGTGAAGCATCTATCAGTGACGCATTCAAGAATAGATTTTGTTTGAGCACCTTGAGTGTATCAAGTATCGGTGGCTGGAATTGACGCTCTATCTAATTGCTCCGAGACGACGGGCTGTGCCGGTGCAGAAGCTGGGTAACTGTTTCGTAGCTTGGGGGGTAGATAACCTAGTATGATACTCAAGGTGATTTACAATATACACAGCCAACCCTATAAACATACCAATATATTGCCATGAGAGAAATGGGTTATAGTCTATCTAGGTAATAAATAGAGAAGCAGCCACGCAAAGATGAACCCGATCGCAGACACCCAGTGATGATGACAAGCATTCCGACAACCAAGGATAAGCCTTCCATTGCGGGGGGAACAGCCGAGGTGGGGGCAAGGGAGGACCCTGGCAGTTGTTCAAACTTCTGGCTCAGTCCCGTCGCAAAGGTGTGGCTGTCTGCGATCTCGGCTTCCAAGTCGCAGGGTCGCAGGATCGTAAATGTCGCCGTTGCAGATGTATCAAGGATGGCAACTGTAGTACGGTAACATGTGAGTTAATGTTGAAGTTGAGGGCTGATTACCAAGCCATCAGCTGAGTCTAGCAGTCTCACGGATGACGGCACGGCCCACGTGGGATAAGTTAATAGTGTAGAAGGATTCAATGAGCAGCTTAGCAGTCTTTAGCTTCCTAGTCAGGTAGTTCGGCTTCGGCTTTGGGTGGTGGATAATAAGAACACCAACTCGTTTGGGGACTCAACATTAACATGAACCAATCGGCTGGACGAAGTGCTCCGAGAGAGATTCTATAGTTCTATATGGATAGAGACTTTGGATAAAAAGTACTAGACATAAAGCGTGAACGAACACTCTCACCGGCTCTCGCGCCGAGCTTGTGCTGGTTAAATCCGATGTCGCATTAGCCCCAGCAAGAGTTCTCTACCTATCCGTATCCATGCTTTAGTGTAGTCATTGAGTCAATCCTTTTTGCCGATTCGGCAACGCGGCAACAGTCGACATTTCTCACTCTCTCGGCTCTCGTCGCTCTCGCGTCTTTTCACCCCATACTACCTTAGTAGGTAGGGTACACTATTACACACGATTTTCACTTACCCCAGTCTTGGATGCTTTAGATCCCACACCCCTTGTTCTTAGCTGCTTCGAGACCAGTCCCTTTACGTCCACTTTTCCCTCGCCATGGGACCAGGGGATGGTACAGGTTGGAGCGCATGTGGAGGTGCTTGTCATCGACTTTGGATTCGTAATGGAAATTTGTTGCGCCTTTCGCTCGTCATTTTTTCTTTCGTTTCTTTTCTGTGACTCTTGAATCTCTCTCTTGACAACCATGACCGACTGACTGTTGCTACGGATTCCTACTTACTAGTTGTAGCTGGAGATTGTCACTCACTGAGCAATCCCGAGTCTCAGCACGTTGTATCTCTCATCGCCTCACCGTGTCTCTCATTGCGCGAAGCTGGTGATCTCATTTTCAACCTTGACCTTGAAAGGTCCAAGTCAGCTACCTTAGACTCACCACTTCCTCTCATGAACCATCACTCTCTCGCTGAGCAACCCAAGAACAGATTGAGCTCTTGAGACAAGCACGCGTCCTTCACACGACATTCCTATACCGCCAAGACCATCGCCCAGCACAGCAAAGCACAGATGACAGCAAAAGACTTCCACGAGGTCCACGACGACGAAAAAGTCGGCGACATTGAGCGCGCCGCCGGCTCCCAGACCGAAGATGGATCGCCCACAACCACCAGCAGCGACTCGGTGACCATCCGCAGCAACCCCGACGCGGCGAACATCAAGGCGGAAAAACAAGAACTCTCCCACGACGCCACTGCCCCAACGGCGACAACAGGCCATGTGACAGCCCCCAGCGACACCAAAGACGCCGCGCCCGAAACACAAGCCACGGCAGCGGCGCAAGGACCACCGCCGGCAGCGGCGGCGGCCGGCGCCGAAGACACCCCCGAGGCCGGCCGCACGAAGCTCGAGACGACGCTCATCGTGCTCTCGCTCTGCGCGGCGCTGTTCCTGGCGGCGCTGGACGTTACGATCATCACGACCGCCGTGCCGACCATTGCGGAGGAGTTTAATAGCAATATCGGGTACATCTGGATCGGCTCGGCGTACCTCCTCAGCAATGCGGCTTTCGTGCCGACGTGGGGCAAGATTTCTGATATTTGGGGCCGGAAGCCGATTCTGCTGTGCGCCGTTGGTGTGTTTTGGGTTGGGTCGTTGATTTGTGGGTTGTCTACGAGTATGGGGTAAGTCCTGAGATGATGAGAATGGGAAGATGGCGTATAGGAGTTGCTAACATCACACAGCATGCTCATCGGCGCCCGCGCGATCCAGGGCATAGGCGGCGGCGGCATCATCGTCCTCGTCAACATCTGCGTGAGCGACCTTTTCTCGATGCGCCAGCGCGGCGTCTACTTCGGCGTCATGGGCATGGTCTGGGCCGTCTCGAGCGCCATCGGCCCCGTCCTCGGCGGCGTCTTCACGAGTAAGGCTACCTGGCGCTGGTGCTTCTACGTCAACCTGCCCATCTCGGGCATCGGCTTCATCGTGCTCTTCTTCGTCCTCAAGCTGCACAACCCGCGGACGCCCGTCGCGCAGGGCTTAAAGGCGATCGACTGGGTCGGCACGCTGACCATCATCGGCGGCACGCTCATGTTCCTGTTCGGTCTCGAGTTCGGCGGCGTTCAGTACCCGTGGAGCTCGCCTACTGTGATCTGCCTGATCGTGTTCGGCATCGTCACGATTGGCATCTTCGCGGTCAACGAGTGGAAGTACGCGCGGTACCCCGTCATCCCGATGCACCTCTTCCGCAGCTGGTCCAACATGGCCGCCTTCGCGACGGCCTTCTGCCACGCCTTCGCCTTCATCTCGGGCAGCTACTGGCTGCCGCTCTACTTCCAGGGCGTGCAGGGCGTCTCCTCCCTCCTCTCGGGCGTCTACCTGCTCCCCTACGTCCTCTCGCTGTCCCTCATGTCCGCCGTCGCGGGCGTGCTGATCCGAAAGACGGGCAACTACGTCTACCTCATCGTCGGCGGCATGCTCGTCACGACCGTCGGGTTCGGGTTGTTCCACGACCTGCCGCTCGACCGGAATTTCACAAAGATTATACTTTATCAGATCGTCGCGGGGCTCGGTATCGGGCCCAACTTCCAGAGCCCGCTGATTGCGGTGCAGACGTCGGTGGAGCCGCGCGATATCGCGGCCGCGACGTCGGCGTTTGGGTTTATCAGGCAGATGGGCACGTCGATTTCTGTGGTTATTGGTGGCGTGGTGTTTAATAACGAGATGCAGAGGCAGTACCCGCGGTTGAGAGAGGAGCTCGGCCCCGAGTTGGCGAATATGCTCTCTGGTTCGAGCGCCGCGTCCAGCGTGGGCGTGGTCGCGGATTTGCAGGGGGAGCAGGGGCAGATTGCGCGCGGGGCGTATCTGAGTTCTCTGAGGACGATGTATATCGTCTATGTTGCGTTTGCCGGGCTCGGGCTTGTTCTGAGTTTGTTTGTGAGACAGGTGCAGTTGAGTAAGAAGCATACGGAGCATAAGACGGGGTTGAAGACGCTTCGGAGCCGGACTGGGAAGTGAGGCTCTACCTCTCTCATGGAGGTATGCCGCGGGGAAGAGAGGGCGTAGGGGGCAGTGAGTAGGGGAAGATGATCACGGAGATGGAAGGGTTTGCTAGACTTCAACAGCATGGCGTTTTGGATAGGAGCATCTTGTTTGGTTGGCAGCGAGCATCAACTGGATACCAAAAAATAGGATGCATTCTTTCTCTCTCTGATACTTCCGGACCTCATGGACTTTGCTAATCACTTGACCCTCCTCATGTGAATTTTTAGACTCTAGGTGACTTCTAGTACAGGCCATATGTTGCTGCTATGTGGTGTTTCGCGAGAGAGATCCCATGATAGTGACATTGGGTGTATGTTGGCAAGGAACATAGAATACTGCAGTTCGAAGACTTCATTACCCCTACAAGTGACAAGACAATGAAGACGGCAATAAGTCCAACGTCATCCAAAGAAGGTGTTAGCTGTCTGCCTAAAACCTGCCAACGATCACGGCAGTGAATGCCCCCGAAGAATGTGATAGCAGCTTCACATGGCATGGTCTCGTCGGTAGGACCCTATCTTTGAACAAAACTTGTTGTCTATCAACATCTAGTCTATGACTGCGCCGAGCAGCTACCCCATCTATTCTATGCACGTCTCATCATGAGTTTCCCGTCTGCGCCTCGGCAGCCTTCTCCTCGTTCCCTGAGCCGCCCTTCCGATGCCGCCACTCCCTCGCCAAAAACGTCAACGCAACACACAATCCCAGCCCAGCGAGTCCGACACCCATGTACAACGCGCCCCGGAACCCCCTGAACTGCTCCTCCTTGGTACCCGCGCCCTTGCTGACGTGCACCTCCACCGTGCCCGCGAACCCGACGCCGAGCGCGATGCCGTAGTTGACCACCGTGTTGACCAGACTCGCCCCGATGCCCTGGTGCTCCTTCTTGACGGCATTCGACAGGATCAGCGTCGCGGCGGGGAAGCTCATGTCCATGCCAAAGGGCATGATGATCATGGAGACGAAGATCTGCGCCCAGTAGATCTGGTTCTCGGGCGCCGTGGCCGTGAGGATGACGCCGACGGTGAAGGCGACGAGCGCCATCGTCATGACGACGGGCGGGCGCACCTTGAGCGGGCCGAGGAGCTTGCCCGTGATGACGGCCGCGAGACCGCCCGTGACTACGACGGGCGAGAACCACGCGCACGTGAGCAGCGGCGAGAGCGTGCGGATCTCCTGGAGGATCTGGACGAGGTAGAGCGTCCAGATGCCGAAGGTCGCCCAGCCGCAGACGACGGCCGCGAGGACGAAGGCGACGTCGGCGTTGACGGCGTCAAAGGGCAGCAGGGGCTTCTCGGCGTACTTGAACTCGATGGCGGTGAAGACGCCGAATAGGACGAGGCCGAGGATGAGTGGGACGAGGACCGTGGGCGTCTTCCAGCCGTCGATGGGCGCCTGGTTCCAGGCAAAGTTGAAGAGGATGAGCGCCACGATGCCCGTGACCGCGCCGGGGATGTCGAGCTCGACAAACATGTCGCTGAGGGTCCTCGGGGGGCGGTCGGCCTTTGCGTGCGGCTCGGGGATGATGAAGTAGCCCGCGACGGCCAGGATCGCGAGCCAGATGGAGAGGGCCCACAGCGCCCAGGGCCACCATTCGAGCTCGAGCGTGCAGGCGATGGCGGCTCCGACGACGCCGCCCATGGGCGCGACGGCGCCGAAGAGGGAGAAGACCATGGCCTTGCGGTGGCCGGGCGGGTAGGCGGCGCCGAATAAGGCCAGGGCGTTGGGGAGGCAGATGGCCGGGCCGATGCCCTGGAGGACGCGTGAGAAGACGGCGAGAGTGAAGTTTGAGTAGACGCTGAGGCCGGCGATGAGGGACCAGAGGGAGAACCAGGCGAAGCCGATGATGAGCATGCGCTTGTAGCCAAAGGCGTCGCCGAGGCGGCCCGAGAAGAGGATGAAAGTGCCGACGGTGAGGGAGTAGCCGGCGACGAGCCAGGCTAGGCGGGCTGGGTTGTCTACGTGAAAGGAGCCGCCGATGACGTGGAGGAGGACGAGGGTTTCCATGTAGGCGGCCTCTGGTAAAGTGGTTAGTCTATGCTTTTCATGTTTTCCCCCGTGCTCGGGGATGTCGCGATGTTGTGAGATTGAGTTTGGGGATAGAGGACAGCAACTTACGAGTGCAGAACTGAGCCATGCAGCAGATAATTACGAACATGGCTTCACGAGGGAACGACATGCCGTCGACGGCCCATACCGAAGAAGCATTGGACTGTTGCGGCGCGAGGTTGTCGCCATTGTCGTCGCTTGAGTCGTCTCTACTCGATCGGCCTAAGCTCGAGTCGTCGGGGATGTGCTTGTCGTCTCGGAGCATGTTGACGTCCGGTGTCGCAGCGGCGGTCCTGTCGCCTGATGTTGAGTCGAGGCTCTTGCGAACATATTGCTGCTGCTTCTCAGATGCCGACGGAGAAGCCATCGTGAACTGGAGCGTGGTGTTCCTTCAAACTCGGATGTTGCTGCACTAACATTCGAAAGGAGGAGTATCTCCAGACCGGATCATCAACGACGGGCAATACTCGAGTTAAAGTAATGGAAAATGATCTACCCGTCAGGTTGACGCCAACGCGCGAAGGCGGGAACGCCCCTCCGAACCGGGGAGGACCCATTTACAATTTGGAAAATTCGCCATTCCCGGACTAGGCGTACATACGAAGTACGGGACTAAGAAATTGAATCAAAGATCCCCGAACCAGCCAGCCAGGCCAGCGGGACAAGGGGATAACCTAAAGACCTACCTTAGGGGCTTAGAGCCGTCTCTGTCTCGGACTTACACGTGGGATTGGCGAGTTCTAGTAGAGGGTCCGGCCCAGGGTAGGGTACCAGATATGGGTCCTTTTGGATCATGGATGGATCTTTTTCTTTTCTTCCCTTGAGAATTGCTTCCGTGTGGTGGTTGCTGACTGGGTTCTTTGGGCTCACCTAGACGGGTATTAGACCACATCCCAGTTGAGCACCACACATCCCTAACCCCATCACGCGGCACGCGAGTCGGCATTCCAGCAATTGACAGCAGTTTTGCGTGGTCGATCGAACCAGTCAGTGCTCAGTGCGTCGCTGCGTCGATGACAACCTGTTGACTGTTCTATGGGACTCCTTGAGAGGATATTTTTACCCTTTTCGGGATGATGCCCCAGCGGGAAGAGAGTCAAAATCTAATCTGATCTGTAAGTTTCCCAACGGGACGGGACCATGACGTCTCTTTCGGTGTATCCGTACGGACTTAACTTGTTGAAGATATGTCAGCGACTTCAATATGATGGATGACTGAGAACCTTTCTGTCAAGTCAACCTGCAAGATCGGTCAGACGGTCAGACAACCTTCTCGAAGCCGCATTAGAGACGAACAGCAAGACACGTTAACAATGCAGCCGGTTCCCGTCCATCGGCCAATCCGCCCCCGGGCCCGCGGGACACGCAGAGCTCTAGAACTCTCGTATACCTACACGTACAGCCCCCAACCTTTCTTCCCCAATCCAGCTTCTGGTCACGAGCCCTTTGTCGAGAGCTAGGAAAGCTGGACTGCGGGCGGCGGCGCAGGCCAACGAGCGGGACAAACCTTTGCTTAACTCCTTTCGGAACACTTTTCGGAAAAGGCTCAACTCCAACAGTGCTTAACCTGCCACAGGTGTCAAGGGTGCCAGTGCTCAGCAGAACGCAGGGCTGAGAGGGCACGGAGGGTTCCAGAGAGGCGGGCAAGAGGCATTCAAAGTGTCGGGCTGGGCTGGTCTAGTGCCAAAGGCGCAAGAGCTTAGCAAGGCGCGTGGCGCACTGGCGTACATTTTCCCCCGCGCGCTCGGGATGGACGCCGCCCATCCCACCCTCAAGTTTAGACGCTTTCGATGCCTACCAGTGCCAACTCGCTGGGAGCTTGGGCCCGAGTCAAGCCTAGTCTGGCTGGCTGGCTGACAGACCAAGTTGACAAGTCCGCGGGTTCCAGCCACTTTTGGGGTTCTGGAATGGCCGTATTCGGCAGTGCGTTGGAGGTTGAGATAGCGGTGTTTTGTAAAGCTGCGCTGGTGGTGATGCGCTGGAGCCTGGAGGACGTGAGGGCCGGGTTGACATTCATCCAAGGAATGACTGAAGGATGGGTTATCTCCCCGGGTGGACTTGGGCTGCTGGTCGTTCAGATGAACCCCTGCCATTCTGTTGTTCGTTGACCAAAGTCCTCGCCAAACCTTCGGGCGTTATTTGCTCATGATGGCTCTGCTGCCAAGACCATCAAAAAAATTGCTCAGCAGCGTTTGAGATCACGACATTTGTGTCTGGCTACAACAGGACGCCTTTCAAAAGTGAAGAATCGGGGAAAATCCCCAGTCACGTACGAGTCAATCACGTCTAACGCCGAGGGAGATTCAAGGGAGAGTGTGAAAAGGATATTCCCGTATCTCCGTATTTCCGACAGCTACCCCTCCGTTATTCCGCTTCTCAGCAGACAGTTGTGGGGGCCGGGCTACTTCCGGTGGAGGAGGGGAGCAGATCAGAGAGAACCACAAAGTCAGAAAACCGTACTCTTGAATTACACACGTCAGAGCCGCGCGCGTGTCCTGGTATTTTGCTGTCATCGGTCGCTGTTGCAACGTTTCGGAACTCGCGTATCTCGTTCCGAACCTTGATCTGCAAAATATCTCTAAAATGACATCCATGCCGGTAGACACCGCCGCCGAAGACTCGTCGGAGAACGAGTAGTGTTACGGGGCTCACAGCGGCGCGGATGAAAAGGTAGTTCGAATTGCATCAACACGGCAAAGCTTCGACCAAGCCTTGCTACGGGGGATCTCAAGCAAACGGATTCCATAGCTGCCGCTCGTTCATCACGCGGCATATACTCCACGGTCCCGAATCGACGGTTCCCCCTACCGCTCCGGCTCCATCACGTTCTTCCCACATGTGTTGAAGCAGCATCGACGTCTGACGAATGTTACCCAGTCCAATGGCAGAGAACGTATGCTCGAGCCGCTCGCGGAGGAAGGTCCGTTGCCCCTGGTCTACCACGCATGACCCGACCACAGCGATGGGCCAGCATAGGCTTGTGTTGATCTGCACGCTCGGGGGCAGCTGTGCGAGACTCGCAATGGCTTCGGAAAGGGCCGCTTGGGTCATTTTTACTGATGAATCATCCTCATATTC